TGAAACATGTGCTACTGTCTCAGCTAATCTTATGGTTAGGGTACTTTTGGTGTACAGAATAACCCCGCCTCCCCTACGGTTTAATCTATCAGCCCTACTGGTTATGAAACCAGTCAACTGGATTTCACTATCTAATACTTCTGACGTTAACCAAGTTTCCGAGACAGCAATAACGTCCGCTTTTTCTTTATCCACCACTGACTTGAACTCCGCCATTTTATTTAGTAGGCTGCGAGCATTTGTGTGGCATACCGTTAAGTCTGTGGAGAGCTTTCCCACCCGAACTTTTACAACTTGAAAACCCTCAAGAACAAGGTTTCGTTCCCCGTTTTGGCGACGTCATTTATTTCCGCTTCTGCAGCTCGTCTCTTAATACGATCTGCTAGGCTGAGATCCTCACGGACATATATTCCGGATCCTATCAGTTTACGTGAATTACTTAGAATCAGGTTCCTTTCTTCCACCGTGTTGAATGTAACCTTCAGGAGGCGGTTTTTCGGAGGACTTTCGGGATCCAATTTTTCCCTATTCTATAAAGCTTACAAATACTGACTCCCGAAACTGTATCTGGGATTAGTTTACTTAATGATGTCTTATTATCGTCCATTCTTCAGTCTTCATTATTAAAGATAGGTCTATCGACCTGTAGTAATCCTTGCAATTCATAATACTGTGGAGGTCGCCTTGTATGTGTCAACAGAAGGCGCTAATATTGCGGCCCCATACATTTCCTCGTCCAAGTACTGAAATGACTTGAGAATAAACCATAAGACCCTTAAACCTTTGACAGTAGCAGCCTTGCAGTTACTTGTAGTTTTGAGATCGACTCCTGGAATTTTATTGTCCATTACTCTAGGTAACAACGGCAAGACTAATTTGTGGACGAGCCAACCAGAGGCGTTTTAGAGATTTCAAGGTTACGGCGCCAACTTCAGTGCTTAATGCTAACGTACGATCGGTTCACAGGGAATTTTGTTCAAAACGTGATAATTGGGCGGTTATAACAAATAAAACGGCGGGACTATAATTTGTGGACGAATCAATCAGGTATACGATATTAGGTCTCGGATTTTAACGCGAAAGCCTTTCATCCTTTTGGCTAAATAGATTTCTGGCATTATAGCTGGTGTCAGTTCGTGATAAAAACCCCATATATAATTCCTAAGGCAACTTACGACAATTGGCTTATATTTCTCAAGGTCGCTTAAGATTCGTTCAAAGGTCGTCCATAAATTAGAGTCTCGCCTTAACTTCTGATGACCATCTACCCATCCATGCACCAGTGAATTTGGTTATCCTGCAATATTGTTCTCTCTGACATTGTGTATGGGTCTCCAAATCTTTATGTCATCTGCGAAGAGTAGAATAGGTGACTGCTACATTTAGTAAGTCATTTACATAAATTTAAAAAGAGGAGGACCGAGGATTGCACCTTGAGGAACTCCGCTTTTTACAGATTCCCACGTTGATAAAGCCCGATTTTCAGTTGCCTATTGTTCCCTATCATTGGAAAAGTCATTTATCCAATCTGTGATTTCATAATGGCCCCCTAAACTTTCCAGTTTTAATTTAAGGCCCAGATGAGAGACTTTGTCAAAGGCTCTACTTAGATCTGTGAAAATTACATCTACAAAATATTTTTATCTTTCGCTGCAGCCCAATCTATTCTTGCAATGAGCAAATTTGTTAAGTGTGATAGGTCTTTGCTAAAACCATTTTGTTCCTTGGATAAAAGATTATGCCCTTTCACATAGTTTAAAACAGCCATCAGAGTAATCTTTTCCATTAGTTTGACAACTACACTAGTTAGACTAACCGGTCGCTAGTCACTAACCAAGTCCCTGCTCCTCGCTTTATAAACCTAACTGATTATTATGTGTTCCAAGTCTCTTGGCAGCCTGGACTGCCTCAAAGACATATCAGACAGTATGGTCAGAGATTCAGGCATTACATCTGGCAGGGCCTTCATCATCAGGAACACTTGGCTTATCTGGTTTGAGATGAAATCGTAAGACAGCTACGAGATCCATCGACGACTTGGCATTATCAGGATTAATTATCGGTCTTTCACCATCACCGGTAAAAAAAAACTACTAAAATATTCTGCTTCAGCTTTCGCAACATCACTTTTTGCCATTATCAATGGGTTTTCTTGTAGCGAATGTTGTGGGATCCCATCACTTCTCTAGGCTCACCTCTTTATATACGAGGATAACCTATTCGGACTATTTTCACAATTTTTAACCAGTTGTTTTCCATATGAATGTTTAGCCTTTCTTAACACTTTTCAAACGTTTCTAGTTTTGCAGTGAATGAATATGTACTGTTCAGAGCCTGTAGAGATAAACATACTCCAATGCCTTTCCTACGTCTAAGAAAGTTCTTGACCTGTTTGGTTATCCATGATAGACAGTTTTTGGGTCTACATGTTACTGAGCATGATATAAACAGAAGCGTAACTAAACTAAGCTTTTAGGGATTCTAGATCCCCCAGAACTCACTTGCCAAATGTCTTATTTCTGTAATTTTATTTTGGAAATTTGAATTTCGAGCCAAAAGCGCCCATTATCACATTCATATCGTATTTCCTACTTGGTAGGACCTTAAATGTAATTGGTTCGTTGTCTCTTTTGATATGTTATTTTGTAATGTTTCCCGATAACATTTATATGTTGTATATATGTACGCTTGAGTTGTGCTTTTTTGTTCGTGCTTCTGGCTGCTTGTGGAATACATTTTTCTCCTGAACCTGAACTTCTCTCTTTAGTTAGCGGGGCTGGGACACATCGGAATAGTTAGCTTATCTGGTCATTGTGTCACTGAGTCTTCATTCCGTTCCCAGATTATGTGAACTCGTAATCTCTTCAAACATAGTATAAGTGTACCTTTAAATATAGACCATGCCTCTTTAATTTACAAACTAGTATTTACTGACCAGTCAGTTGTTGCAGCGCACTTCTAAATTACTGATATGTTTGCTCTCCACTTATTTGGGCGAGGTTTAACCTGACCGTATATTATGTTAAGCTTTAAAGAAGAATGATGAAAAAAAGTGTGATTGCTATTTGCTAGCGGCGGGAGAATATTTAGATAAGCAGTATCCTCAGTTGCATGAGTGATTACTAAGTCTAACTAAGAAGATCCTTGGTTTGGACCAACACGTGTGGTTGGGGTACACGCTGTACTAAAAAATGCTCCATTACTGTTATCAGGAGCCCACCATTGAAAGCGTTTACAGATCCTACGATGGCCACCTCGGCCCAACTAATATCAGGTGCATTAAAATCTAGTATCACGCGTCTATTACTTTTACTTTATAGCTGAACGTGTTTCAAAATAGTCATTAGCTGAACAGATTGGGCTACGATTGATGACACTTAGTATAAGTATACAACATTCAAAGTGAGGCCACAGCTAATGACTTCACAAGATCGACTATCTTGAGATTCACAAACAAAGGAACGAATGTTTACGTTATTAGCTATGCATATAAGGACCCTACCCCCCTCATGGACTGGTAACATATCATATATGTCTACTCCCAGTCTTCCCTTAACCCATTATTTGAACAGGTAGCTGCTCGAGAAATGTGACTATAGTTGGGCTTCGGTATGGCTTTTACAAAACCAGAACATTTGACCTACTTACGTACATATGTGCAGCTAACCCCATGACCACTAATCGTCAACCTAATAACTTTGTCTCGTCGCGGTCCCGAAAGGCAGCTTGGATTTTGTAAGATCAACCTACTTGAGATGAGATGTTTAAGTAATCACAAAATAACAAAACTGCACAGCAGTAAGCTATATACCGTTATGAGATTGGGGCGGAACCAACATGCTCATATTTATTCCGTTACACCTCTCGCTTTTCACTTCTTCATATCCCGTTGTTTGCAACCTTTCCGCACGTATGTCTGCTCTGCTGTGGGGTCTTTTTACACGGAAAGTAAGTCAATGAAATGCATTTGAATGTTCCTTTCATAAACTTACCTCAAAAAATTAGTAATAGCCTCTGTTTCATCTGTGTTATGGAAGTTTATTGATATTCATGCGTACAGATTTCAACCATAATGGTTTACGCTACTTGAAGTGGTGACTAGTGACTACAATTGCCAAGTTCAAATCCTATTTGATTTATTGGGAATCGACTTTAACATTTTTGTGACGAAAAATACTTTGTTAGCGAAATTCACCTGCTGACGAGGTTAATATTCAGTGGTAAGATATTACCATCTGACCTTCACACTAAAATTTCACATATAGTTTGTCACTTTCGGTTTTAGGTCTTCAGTTGACTCCTGTAGAATGTGTATATCCAGGAGTATGTATTATCTGATGAGCTAGTTCTAAAAAGACCTCACTAGTTTGTTTGGTTAATACTTAAATCAAGGTAATAACCAATGAAGAAGGATAATTAATCTGGAGTTAGTTTCCTTATTATGGTGAAAGCCTGATAACTTCATCTCTGTGCTAATGGAGTATGGCAGCTTGAACCGTTGTACATGCGTACAGGTTCTACCTTGTGACTGACTGTTGTGGTGAAAAGCTCGTACGTACTTGTTTTATTTGGAGGAGGGTTAGTGAGCTTATGAATATATGAATAAGTTTATGGATAGGAAAATCCAGTGTTTAAAGGCATTTAAACAGCTACTGAACTGTGGCAATATTTTAAGACAAGTTCGAATCCAACAATTTCGAGTAAGGTCTAGGCGTTTTGCAATCTTCCGTGCTGATGATTGTTATCCGATCATTTCGTTTCTAATTGTGAACTCTAAGTAGTACATTCTGTTGCAACAGTATGTTTGAATTTATTTTACTGTTTGTGATGTGTTCGTTTATCTGCTCTTTTAGCTTCTGTATTGTTCTTGTTCGAGCCCACGGATATCTTTGTCGACTTGATATTTTTATATTTATGTGGAAGACTCAAATATAATCTCTGATGCATTTAGAATGACTTGTTTTAGTCTGTATAGCGTAACTGTTTTGTTGTAGTGATAAATGAACGCATCAATACACCAGCAAGTTTCAAAGAATGAACAGGTTACTGAATCTTCCTCTGGTGCTGATGGTAATGCTACGGATACGTCCGTTCATAAGACAGAAGATACTGATTTGTTGAACCGGTCAGCTTTTCGAAGGGATAGTGGCTCTCGGTCAACTACAAAAAAGGTTAAAATTGTTGACCCGAAGCAAAATGTGGAGGCTGACTCAGATGATGAAGATTTATTATCACAACCAAGTATTACTGGGGTCCCTGTCATCGGGGAATCAATCGGTGCTGTTAATTGCGGTCAGTCAAATGACCAACAAGCTTCTGCAACTTCCGCTGACCGCAAGAAAACAAAGGAAGAACGGAAAAAGGAACGGGAAAAGAAAAAAGAGGAGGAAATGCTGAAAAAGTATCAAGCGGAACAAGAAGCCAAACAAAAAGTATCGGCGAAATCGAAATGTAGTCGCTGGATAAAACACAATCTCAAGGTACTGATAACTTGAAATTTCCAAATTTCTTGACAGATTGGTGAGGGTGGGTATAAATTCGTTTACCGTGGATATGATAGCGTTGAAGCTAGAAATGTTGCATGGTGCGAATTTAAAGTAAGGCTTAGCTTTTACTTTATCTCTTAGCGTGAGCATGTTGATACCAAAGAAAAACGTCAAGCAATGTTCAGGGAGACGGAGATTATGTTGAAGATGAATCATCCACACATTGTCAGATGTTTTGATGTTTTCAGGAGTGGATTGATATGGAAGATCCGAACAATCAAATTGAAGAAAAAGGAGTCGTAATTATCCAAGAACTGATGGGCGAAGGGACTTTAAAAAGGTATTCATATAGATTTCACTGATTTATTTTTAATATATTACTAGCGTAATCAGAAAGAACTTCCTAGATGGCCAGTGCATCCTTAAATTTCCTCTTATTACACGCTGGTGGCATCAAATTCTCGATGCCTTACGTTATATGCACCATAAAATCCAACCTCCTATTCTCCACAGAGATTTAAAAGCTGACAACTGCTTTTTGTACGGTGCATCAGACGAAGAATATTTAAATGTTAAGGTTGGAGATTTTGGTTTGGCAACTCATGTGAGTAACAGTGGAAGGAAAACTATGCTGGGTAAGTAATGGGTTTTTAAGAGTTACTATAGCCTTCTTGTGATTCCCTGTTTTCCAGTACCGGACACCTAACGTGTTTTTCTTTATTCTACTAAATTTTATATTTCATTGGTGGCATCAATTCCAAAAATATTACTTTAATAATATTTAAAGCCGAGAAATATTTATGTCCAGTATGTTGATCTTTCTACTGATTGTCTGTTTGAGGTAAATCACTGACGTAAATTGTCTTCAAATGAAAAAATTTCCACAAATTTTCTTTTGCTAATAAAACATGCAATGATTCAAGCGCTGCAAGCACTAAATAATCATTCTTAACCAGTCTTTACATTGCCATGATGATGGGGGTTTGATATATCGGGTACGAGTTAGGCTTGATGGTTTGGTCCCTCTTGGGATACAGGCTGCCGACGAGGGAACTCTGTTGTGAACTTCTCTTCCTAGTTTTGTCAAGTGTTCATATTCTTAATGGTTGCCTTTTTGTCTTTTGCGTTGAGAACTCTAATTTAGAGCTTACTTTGTGATATAGTTGAATGTTTTATACAAGGTAATTCCTACCCACCCCAGGCGTCTTTTCCTAGCTTCATCTTCAGTCGCCAGCTGGATTGTTCTCCGCCATAGTAGATTATTGCTAACGGTCTCTGGCTATTGGGTCCGAAGTATCTCGCGTAGAAAGCTACTTGGTGATTGTGGTGATAGTATTTGAAGTCTTAGCTCCGTACAGTAAAACTTTTAACGTTTGTGTTGGAAATTCTGATTTTGGTATTAGCTGACAGTCCTTTTGAATTCCAGACCTTCCTGCCAGGTATGTAAAGGCTCACATCCCTTCCAGAGCTTTGGTCGCTACTCATCTGTGTTCAAGATATCTACTATATTTTGTACTTGTCTTGAGATGTGGTTTTCACAATCCAGTCAACAACCAGTAGGAAGAGGAAGGGCAAGAATAGGTATCCTTATCTAACACTAGTCCTCACTTGAAATGCATGTGCGAGCTCCTCGCTGTGTATGACTTTGCAGTGTTTTCTCTTGCCGGAATTCGGTGTAATGGTGATGATCTTTTCATACGCTTCACAATATGGAAGATTCTATAAGGCTTTTCTCTTCACGCTATCGAGTGCTTGTAGTTAGTAATTTGTTATATAGCGATGAGCTCTATTCAGTTGACTGTTCAATAGTAATTCGCAGTGTCACGCTTTGTTCGGTACATGATCGATTCTTACGAAAGTCAGCTAAGTTTGGCATCTACTGAATCTTTCATTCAGTTTAGCGACACTCGGTTGAGGATTTTATCAGTACTGACAGCAGTATGATCCCTCTGTAGTTCTCACAATGAAGATCTTTCTTCGGTATCGTAATGGGGTATACCTGTTTCTACTCTGTTGGGGCTTTTTCTTCCTCTCAGATCTTTCTTTGAAGAGAAAATAGAACGTTTTCACGGTTGTATCTATGTCTGACTTTATTGCTTCAACTGATTTGCTGTTTGGTTCTACTAATTTGTCATTTCTGATTTATCTAATGGTCTTGGTAATTTCTTCTAGTACCCTTCACTCGTTTATTTGCTTCTGCATATTTGACCTGCGCCTTATCTTTGCTTTTTCCCGATAGTTGTTGATTTCTTTTCTTACTTGATTCTTATCCAAGCTGTTTACAGAGGTCCATTCTTTATACTGGCGCCTCGTAGGGTACAGCACTTCCTGGGATTATAAAATAAGTGTTTCTGTATTCCCTTTCTAGTTGCTCTTCGTATTGTTTTCCTCCTCTTCTAATAAATCATGGAAGACTTGGGATCTGTTGTTGATAGCTATCTTTGGCACGCCGAACTTGTTAGCATCTCGAAAGTAGACTCTATTAAACTCTTTTACTGCTGCTTTTCTATCTATCTTATGCTTCCTTAACCTATGTTGTAGCTTGTTCACCACCAACTGCTCTGAAGCTATGTGGATTCCTCTCTTTTCACTTATGAATCTTCTGAATTTCTTATTGATGCATATGTGGTCAATCTGATTTTCCGTACTATGGTCCGGTGGAACACAAGTAGCTTTGTGTATAGATTTATGGAGGAGACGGCTGTCGCCTATATTTCGCCTGATATTCTTAGTGTTTATGTATTTGTTCAATATCTTGTGTGTAAGCTTGTTATCCTGTTATAAAAATCAGTCTTTTCTTCTGACTACCGATCTTGTCATTGATTTTGGTTCATTCAACTGTTTGCATCGGTCATTCAGCCTTGTAGGATGGCTTTCACTCGACCATATTATATTGTTGCATTTTATTAGTCTATCAATATCTTGTTTACTCATTTTGACTGTCCTAAAACAGTGCATCATTCCTTAAACTTGTAATGTATAACACTGGGTGCCCAACTAAGTCATATTAGATCATACTGATGCTGTACTACGTCAGGGTAGTTGTTTGAGAAACGATAAGAACTGAAATAGAAGATTTTATGTCCACCAACAGAATTGTATTGCGATTGTATAGCTTTGTAGCACCATCGATTTTTTCTACGGTTAGTCGGCATATTGGGTTATAATGCTTATACATGGAATTGCAAAATAAAAATCCAGACCCTAACAATAACATACTTCCTCAGTTTACAAATCCTGTCCTGGTGTATGGGTTTCAAAAGTTCATACTCGACAATAATAAACCAAAACATAATCCCACATGGGAAGGTCGGTCGTAAATTACTGCATGCTCCAAAATAAAAGTCTGCATTCCAGTTATGTCGTGTTCAAAGCATTTATCCGTTTGCTCCCCACAAAACGCAGAAATATTACACTAGGAGGACCTCTTTACGATCTGTTCGATGAGGACGCTTCGGCTGTATGAGAGGAAAAAAAACTTGTGTATTCATGATATGGATATTCATCATGAAGTTGTCTTGGATGATATGCGATATGCCACTAAATAACAATGATCTCTGTTAGCAACTAAAAGGAAAGGTTAAGATAGTTCCTCAGATTATGCTAAGTCAACAAATGCTTTAAAACTCACCCTAGCTTTCTCGAAGAGCCATTATGAGGTAATACTACTTGATGTAGATTGATGAAAGCATATGTAATTTCGTCTGATAGGTTTCGGTCACTAATTTCAGTGAGGAATCCTCTTGTGATTATCACAGAAGATTTACCATGATCAATGTGGTGTTTTGCGTATAAGCCCCGATGACTATCTGATGCCCGATTGGAGTTCGGCAACAACAAATACTGGAATATGTTATACATGCCCGCCCACCCTCCATCCTTATGCCATGTGCTGGATAATATCAGGAGATTTAATGAAGTTAGGTAGTGGGAAGACCAAAATATTGCTTAAGTATAAAGTGTAATTGAGAGTTGCAAACATCTGTGTTTGGATTAACGATATTATTGTAATCCATATTTTTAGACTAGGTGACATGGTTGTAAATAGATAATATTCTTCCTTCGTCTCCCTTTAAATATGAATATGATATGTTTACTATTGAATTTTATTAGTTGTTATTGAACTGCACTTCTCATGTTGAGTTTTCCAACATTATTATTGTTTTTCATCTTGTTAGGTTCATCGATAGAGGGGTTTGTTTGATTAATATAGCATCTAAAATACTAGCCTCAATAATTATCGGACGCTTAACAAAGACTCGTGAACTAACCGCAAACACGAGAAAATCAGACTGACTTCAGACCTGGTTGTGGCTGCATTGACCACATATTCACCATTCGTCAGGCTCCAGAACATAGACACGCTTATCGGCTTCCAACAATGATAGTTTTTATTGACTTAACAGTAGCATTTGACTCTGTCGACCAAGAGGTACTGTGGCGTTGTCTGTCATTGAAAGGTATACCTTAGGAGTACATAAACCTTGTGAAGGCTCTTTACTCGAACACTACCAGTCGAGTCAGAGTTTATGGCAAACCGTCATCTGATTTCGCAATCTCTGTACTAATGTGGTATGGCAACTCGAACTGACGTACGTACGTAAGAAATTCTACGTTGTTACTGACTGACTGACTGAAGACAGATTATGACTGAAAACCAGTTTTTGGTATAGCTTAAGCTAAATAAACTGTCTTGCAAACATAGACAAATGGTATGAAGTCTGTACTTTAACGACAGAATTATAACATTCGGTGAGATGCAGGTAAATTAGGCATTTCTTTTACCTTCATCCGAATATATTATTTTTCTTTGTTACAGAGATCAATTATTTATCGAGCTGACAAATCTTGCGTGTTTATTTTATGCATACGAGCTAATGAAACTTAAATATGTACTGATATAATTGGTTTTGGAAAAATAAATAGGTACTTTATAGCATGTGAAGTACATAAATCGTATCTTTAAATTGAATTTCATCCCCATATGTACTCAGTTTAAATATCCTGTCTTAATAATTGATCAGAGAAAATTACTATTGACCTGTTCTGTGCTCATGTTTTTTTATCTTATTTTGTACAACCAATTTCTACCGATCCTGTTAATTTTACATTCTTTAGGCACATTGGGTTTTATGGCGCCAGAGATTTTTGATGAAAAATATGACGAAAAAGTCGACATTTATGCTTTTGGCATGTTAATGTTAGAAGTGATGACAAATCGTACACCTTATGATGAGTGTGAAACAGTTTTACAAGTAGCAGCTAAAACAATGTCTGGACAGGGTCCGGACATAATGCAAATGGTATCAAATCCATCTCTTCGTGAAGTAATCAGTGCATGTATTCAACCTTTGACATGTTTTCGTCCTACTGCTGATGAGTTGTATTTCCACCCATTATTTCAAGTAAGTAGGAAGTATATATATATATATATATATATATATATATATATATATATATATATAGTTGTACACTGTTTAAATTTTGGAAGGGGTTATTTTATTGATGGTAATTTTGGAGTTCGATTTAAGTATGCTATTTAAAAATATGATTGTTCTTAAATTAACCTCCAGCTATTTTGAATACATTCACTTGGTGTTCTATAAAATGTATATGTATGTATTGTCAACTGAGTAGAATTAGTGTATAGTACATATTTCTATAGGAATATTCCAGTTATTGGCAGTAAATAGACTAGATTTGCTGTAATAAGAAATGGTATGTTTGGTTTTATAAAGTCTAAAATACAAAGTTAGAACTATATGAGCTTCACTAAACTTTGCACTAACCGTTATGGAAATACCAAAGAAAATTGAGAAAACGATGAAAGCAGATAGTGAACAAAAGGAAGGTAACAGTTATACCTCGATGAATCCAAAAGTTCTTTTTTCAGAAATCATGAACAAAAGAGATCCATAGAATCGCTCCTTGTATAGGGGATTCTTCGAACCACTGAGTAATCTGGTCTTTCGGTTGTAATCTAGATGGACACCTAAATTTCAAATAAATTGATAGTATCATTATACACAGATAATGTTTGTAGCTCACATTCAAGATTAGTAAGTTTGACATGAATGCCTAATTACATTTCTTTAGGTCTTATCTTCGCGATTGTAATTCACAGCCGAATTTTAATCCAAAACATCTATTCATCATTTTAGGAAAATGAGTTTTGGAAACGCTGTTGTTTCCCGAAAGTTCAATTAGAATTACAAAAATAAATTTATTCTAGTGACCGTTTTGGATTTTTAAACTCTGAATTTCCTCTGTCGCCTCGGTAATATTCACATTTCTAATGGCTTATCTTCTGGATCAAATTAAATAATTGTTAATGACCATCATCTGCAGCAAAAGCCAATGAACTCACCATTTCGTACTCACCTTTGGGTTATTTCCCACTGCAGTGACCATATTGAGGATTTGTACAAATAAACTACGCGTCTCAAAGTAGCGATCACGATTCATGTAGTTAGGGAAGTTTCACATCAAGCGAGTATCTTATGAGTTGATAAGTTTAAATTAGTTATCTTTAAAACGGAGTTATTCAAATAATAGATTGTAAATGTACTTTATGGTAGTTCATACATTCGTGTACTATTTTTTAAATGCTAGAAATATCAAGAAGGGAACGATTCATGGGTATGTGTATTAAGTATAATTTTGCTCGTGATTTATTTGCTTTCTACTCATCTCACAACATGTTTTTATGATTTCTATCAGGTAACACTACGTATAAATCAGTTTTAGTTAAGAAGTATCCGTTTTTCTTTATTTGATTCATACTGCCAATTATTGTTCCTGTTTTACTCTATTTAAAAAAATCAAGCCTTTTATATTGTTTTCTAATTTATAGATTTAATGACATAATCAATTATTCTTGATTAATCCAAAGTCTTGTATTTTTGTCCCACTATTTCCATCTTTCTTCCATTAGTTACTTTACATTTTAACTAAAGATTCAGTAAAAATTGATAGCCACTCGTTTTCAGGTTTGACAGAACTGAGTAGTGTCGCAATTCATCTCTCAATTGATTGTTTCAAGTGAATCAGATGATTCAAAGAGGAACACTAGGATTACTGGTATCATAGGTAGTTCCATGAATCTAGTTGTAATCATCAATAATTTTACTTTAAATAAAGATCGAAAATCCTTGCATGGTAACCAAAAAAAGTCAGCTTGACTTCAGAGGTCTGCACCTAATCATAGTTTTGTGAGCGACAGTTTTAAGGTAATGTGCGATTTTCAGATATGGTAGACTTTGCATGTATGATGTTGAATATTTTGTTAGAGTAAAATGAAGGAATTTTTAAAATAAAAAGACTTATTACATCAGTTTACTGATATATTCATTTAATGTCTTTAGAAAGGCAACTGAAATTTAAGGAAAGTGACTAAGATTTTTTCAACTCTTTTTAATCGTAATATAACCTTTCAACACTATTTTCTCGTAGCTTTATATTCTTTGGCAAGTCACATTTATATGATTAGCTTTAACACTTTTCTTGTTGCATTATTTTTGGCGATATTACACATTGTCAGTATCATTAACGTTTCATAGCCTATTGCTGTATATATGCACATGTGCTTATTAATTTGAATTGCTTTTTGTAGTTGCAAAGCGTCGTATATTTTTTTCAGAATTACTGTTAGCTAGTGGAGAAGATTTGTAGCTCAGGTGAATGATTTCGATGAAGTTTTATTCTCTGAACTGGATGGTTTGGTCGTGGAGCTTTCATCGTTCTTCTGAACGACATCATCAGCACAAACTTCAGATAGAAGTGAAGTGTTCGAATTTCTCCATATGCGTTTCACAGCTTGTTCTGTGTAAATGTAAATGTATCGGTTAGTCTTCAAAATATTTTCGTAGTTCTAACCAAATAAATTGGGTAATAGTTGGGACAAAATACAGTTTGCAAATCTTTCCATTTCTAAATTTCTCTATCCTCTTTAATCTACTTCTCAGTTGGTGCATCAAATTCAGCCATCTATATTCCTCAATACTAGGGTATTATCTCATAACGGTTTCTTAACAGACACTGGTTTACTATTGAGAATTGTCTCGTGGGGTGATTACATTTAGTTCGATTTCGTATATTGTCAGAGACATCAAACTCTGGCAATGTCTCGTCGGTTATTATTCACTTCTCTGTTTATCTGTTTCTTAAATATTCGCACTACAAATAAAATGTGTTGCAATTTTTTTTGCAGCATTCAATACGTTTGACGAATTCCAATTAAAAAAGTAATTTTACTTCGTATTTTTGTAGCCAAAAACATTACCTGTGGAAGTGGAACCGAATTATGACAATGCTACTGATCGTGCAGAGGTCCTGGATCGTTTTGTTCGTTCTCTTGGTAATCCAGAAACACGTAACCCAAATTTCAACTTGCGATTAAGATTTCGTGATAAAAAGATGTTACAAGAGTTGGGATTAGATGATGGGGAATCTTTAGAATTCGATCTTGATATTTATAAAGCTGAAGATCAAGATATTCCAGATCTGATTCATAATTTGGTTAGTTATTCTTCATTGTTTATGAATTATAAAACGTGCTTTTTTATTTCTTATAAAACCACATTTTTTTCGTGAGTGCAATTTAACAAAACTAATACTTCATTAAATTTCAATAGTTTAAAATGAAGTGTATTATTTTTCTCTCTACATGTATATTATATAAATACATATTTTAAACCGACATGAAATTTATCTACCTGTCTATATCGCTACATGTTTACATGTTTTTTTTTTCATTCCGTTGGGTCTATTCTAAATTCTGTTATCTATTGATCTATGTTTCACTGTGAATTTTCCGTTTGTTTCGTAATTTATTTTCTTATCTTTTTAACATCATTGTGCTCACGTTCTCATACAAATGACTGCGAAGTGGTTCAAAGCACATTTGATATTTTCCACGAAGATTAATTAGTGAATACTGTCAAGTTGATCCGATTAATCATGAAGGATTAACTTATGACTTTGTATATATCTATCACGTTTGCAAATTATATAATGGTAATTTGCTAAATGATTACTGTTGTCAATTATATAGTGGAATTCAATTGGTAGATTGAATATGTTCGAAGGTATCTTTTAGTTTATAAGGAATTATTCTTTCCTATCTTCGTATTTCTGTTTATATCACTAAGAGTCCAGTGGTATTCATCATAAACCAAATGAATGGTTAACTTTTGTAGTATACCCTTAAATAAAATGTTGTTGTTTACCGGGTTATTATGAAAGTCCATTTTCTTATATGCTATATAATTAAAATTGTGGAATACTAAGAAAATTCCCATACTCATTGAATGTATTTGACCATTTTGCTTGTTAACCCTTGTATTAATTTCTATCATCTTAGAAAATAATCTGATAATGTCTTCGTATATTATTTAAGGAGAACATTTTTTTCAGTTAAGTTTTACTTAGCTCAGTTTGTTTAGTTTCAGTCAGTTTATCTATCAATTGTAGTATAATCACTTACCGTAGTGTTATTGGTTCTGAAAGCCTGCTTTGTGATAACCATTTCGGTATCAATGTGTTCATTTTCTTTGATGAAACTACTTAGTAAAGTTCATGCATATATATGAATATATATACTAAGTTCGATGTAGTAACTAATAAACAAGGATAGTACGTCAAAAAAGTTGTACTTCCAAAAATTGTTTAGCACATAATTCTTTTGTGACCCTATTAACGTTTGATGATTTTGATTTTGTTTACAAAGCTCGGATTAGACGACTGAACTAAACGTTGAAGTTGCTTAATTTCAACTACTGAAATTGCTACAAGTATGATTTTCTTTTTAATATCGTCTTTATACTCAGCGCTCCAATATTGTGTAACCATTCGCTCAGAGCCAGATGAAGATTCTTGCTTTGAACCTTTTTTCTTTCGTTGATCCGTTATGATTAATTTCCAAATACCTAATCATTTCGATAAGTACTTTTCAGGAAAGTCCCTTGAATATAAGTATTTCATAAGAAATATTTCTGGAGTGTTCGTACTACGCTATTTCAGATCGCCCATGGATGACTGTAAAACTTTAGTTTTATGTTGTTGCCCTTTTTTGGTGAAGAATTCTGAAAGTATGAGCTGACTTCCCACAGGCTTTTTTCATCACATCCCACGGTTTTTTTCGAAGCTCATCCATGTTAAAATCTTTAAGCGAAAGTAATACTATCGAATAAATAATATTTATTTTTATTTTTTCAAATACAAATGTGATGCTCGCACGCATAACTTATATGACTGTAATAATATACCTGACACTTGTAGAAAAGTTATAGAACTTTTGAAACCTTATGTTTTGTTTCACCGGCTCTTACGATAACCCCCCCCGTGTTATTATAAGATACAGCCGATTGTTGAAATCATATTGTCATAAATTTAATTACTTTTTACAATTTATAGAGACTTGGATATGAAGATAAACTGTGGCGTGTGTTTGAAAATCCAAAGCAACCTGATAAAAAGGTTGTTTCTAGTCATTTAGACAAACTTTTCAGTAGTATAAGATTACAAATGCAATTTCTGGTCAAAGTTTTGTTAGGTAAACGTTGGAAAGCCATTCTAGATTCACTTGTTCAAGATCAACCTGTACGTAAAAAACAAGAGGGTGCTTCCACTATTGATGAAGATGATGAAAGTGATACAGATGCATGTAAGTAGTTATGAATAACTTAGTATTTTTTGAGAATTAAGTGTTCTATATTTGCATTTTGGATAAAAAGTGTAATGTACATGTCTGTTGAGTATGTAGAGTTGTGACTTATTATTCTTGGAGTTCATTTCCCAAATACTCAACCACTTATTCCATTCCATTAATTTTGACTGAAGTGATGCGATAACTATTCGAAACCCAAATTACAAGTTGAGGATATAGTTGGTTAGAGACTGGGTGACATGGCTCCGAATCGATCACAATGGCATAGGTGTATACAATCTTGTCTCCCCTTAAACTATGAGATTAAAATTATTTCACATCTTTATTTCTACGAACTAATTCTTTCTTTCAGTACTATATCCTTACATAAAATCTCCCGTTTATTTATTACACCATTGAGTTAACTGCTTCTATGAATCCGGTATTCGTTTTGCTGTGCCGATGAGGTGTGGCAGCTCGGACCGATGCACGTATGTGCCTGGTCCTACGTTGTAACTGACTGACTGACGAGGATATAGTTTTATCTTTTTGTAATTTATAGTAAGCATCACTTTAGATGATTAGTGGAATAACATATGTTTCCTATTGTACAAATTTTCTGCTAGTAGTCATCATCTTTGTAAATGTATTGGTAAACATTTAAGCTTCTAACTCTGTTTAGTTAAATATTGCGTATTAGTTATTCTCCAAGCCTGTGATACTAAAACTAATGTATATATATTTAATATGACATTGCATTTGAAACAGTTACGCGTACCGAGGAAGAGCGCCAGATATATATCATACGTTTTATTTTTCGAGAAACTTAAATTTACACGTTGTGAAAGTCACATATAAACACTGGCCCGTGTAAATTAGATGATAGTTTCATCCTGATATACTACTATCAGTTTTAATTTATTTAAATTATTGTGAACTAATGTGATTAAAAGAGTTATTTAACTGTTTACCTGATATCTTTAATTTAACGAATAATATTTATTTTTCTAGTTTTATTAAAATGAAATAATATAAACATCTCGTTTCGGTCAGTTTATATTCACACGATTGAATAAATTCTTACATATATTATGCTTACTCCTTATATTTCCAGTTTTCTGTAAAAAGTCGAACTTTTTCTATGTTCTTTGAAATTTGTGTTATTTGGAAATACTTTAGTAATAATGTATTTTATCTTTTTTTTATATAAAAAAAAACAACATACAGATGATACAAGTAGCTTCACTATCATTGGGAAGTATAAGAGTAAATGGAACAGAGCTAAGAAGTTATTAGAGAAAGAAATACAAGCTTATAGAAATTCTACTATTACTGTTTCTTCTGCTAGTTCTTCAAATGTTATATGCAGTGCAGTTAATACAATTGCACCTACATTAACTTCTTCAGTTACTTCTACCACTCCAATGCTTGCTGTAGTTGTGTCTCAATCAAATATGGATACGATGCACAATCCTGTCAGCGCAAGTGGTGTTGGAACTCCTGGACAGGTATCTATAGTCCTTCCTAGCAAAACCATATCAGAACCAGTTGATAGCTATTACTCAAATCCTTATAGTTCACATCAAGTTTCTTCCACAGGTCCTGGTTTAACATCTATAGGTAAATTTACTGTTACGGTTCCACCAAGTGCTACAGCTGCTCCAGCTACTCCTAATGTTCTTCCATCTTTGTCTGTCAATGGACCAGGACCAACTCCAAGTCCAACACCCATACCTCCTCAACAAAGTGTTGTAATTCAGAAGTCTTCGGAAGTTCCTATATCTTCATGTTCAAATAGTTCAACTACACTGTATGCAGCACCTGTTTCTTTGCAAACCGATGTAAACTTATGTGCTCGTCGCCCGATTTCTGACCAAAAGAGTACAATTATTACGCCAAACATATCTTTACAAGTGTCTACTGCTCCACTAGCTGGTGGCTCATCTTCACAACAACCATTGAATCAAAAGCCTCCGCTACCATTTCAATCACACCAATCTATTCCATCTATAAGCACTTCTCAAACTCAATCGTCCGGTTTTGTTCCACCTCAATCACCACTGTTAAAATCCGATATGGATTCTACTCATTTAAATAATTTGGATACTATAGCTCGTTCTGCAATGATACTACAACAAGTACTTCAAGGGATCACATCAAATTCTATAGCCAATCCACCTGTTTCCACAACTGAGTCTTTCTTGAATTCCCAAGCCGTAGGTCATAAATAAATTTATACCATATGTTGTGTTTTTTAGTGATATGATTGAAACCGTTTATCTGACTGTTGTACTACTTTCATTTCTGTAAGTTATCCAACTATCTTTGTTACTTACTGCACCAAAAATACTTTATCAAGAGTTGATATATCTAGAGTTATAATCATTAAATCCTTATTAACCAACATTTAACGATGATATTTAAGTCTACCATCACCAGAATAAGCGGTGAGGACAACCGCAGCAGATATGTCAATACTTAATCTATTAACAAAGTTATATCAACATTTTATGGATCTAAACTGTTCTTTTTGTCTTTTTAGTATTCTGCTTTTCATTTTAATATCAATCTCATTTTGTCTTATTGTTGTGCTGTTTTGTATTTAATAATATCTTTATTACAAAGTTAGTAAATTATTTCTACATATTTACATAATACACAGTCTCGATAACCAAATGTAGTTTTTCATGTTCATGATATTATTACTAGGAAATTCAGTTTTTTTTTAGACTAATACTACTAGTCTCTGTAAAACAAAAACTTTCACTCTAATATATATTTCTTCATTGAAATCTGGGTTTGATCATCTATAGAGTTTGTGTTAAAGTTTGGAAAGTCCTAATTGTGTAGAGGGTTATGGGTTCACTATTTTGAAATTATTCGAATTAATTTCATATTACTTTTATGCCTGCATATAGTCGAAATAAATGTAATATATACATGTATACATTAGCAAATTGTGAGTTATGTTAGAGTCTTCGTTCTTCTATTTGTCAATCTTATGAAATATTTGTATCGATCAGTTTAATTTTCGCCTTTTATTTTGTCTTGTTCATGTGACCATCTTACATTAATCGTGACTTTATATTTAAATTAAGAACATTAGTTATTCTTATAAAAAGTTATTCCTTTTAAAATCATGAATAAACGAATGATTCTTGATGTTGATCTTTTCTTCTTTTAGGAAGGAGCAAATCAAAATCATCCAGTCAGTTCAGTTTTTGCACCTCCTATTTTAAGTGATAATCAATCAGTGATACAACAATCACAACATCCTACTTCTATAAAGAATCAATTCCAATCTCACGTTGGGACATTGAACGTGAACAATGTTGGTACAAGTTTGCAAACAGTAACGCCCGGTTTAGGAGGTATTCAACATAGTAACTCTGCTCTTCAAAGTAAAGTTCAATTTTGACTTAAGTATTGAGTTCTGTTCTTTTGATAAGCACTGTTTATCAGTTATGTCAATTTGTATTTTATTGTTATTGAAGTTGAATATTTTGTTCTTACCTAGTACATTACTCAAAAACATAAATTTCAGAGAATTCAAGGAAAAGTTCAAAACCTAGCTGTATCTTTTTTTAGTTTAGTCTGCCAGGTAGCATCATTAAACCTCATTATGCCTTAGAACCGATTACACAAACTTGTATTTCTTAAACAAGATGTATTTACATTAATACTTTAAATGCGAATTAGTGTTAGATTTATTATCAGTTATAACCAACTTAGAGACTGGCACAAATGTGGATTGACCTAAGTCACCACATCATGACTAGCGCGAGTTTAAATTAGCAAGATTAATGGTAAAGAAGTCCAAATGATGTAGCAGCGATTTTAATGAGACTGAAATTGAAAAAATATGGTTTGAAAGGATAATGAAATAATTATGTTTGAGGGGATTCAGGATCTTGAGTAAGATAAAGAGTGAATGTGTCTGCGCCACTGTGATCGATTCTGAGGTTAGTTTTAGAGTTTAGTTAGGCCGGTTTACCGTGGTACGAAATGTCATTATTATACATTCAAAGATATATGTGATACTTACGATTATACATTTTAAGGTGGAAATATGTCCTTTATTTTTGCATATACATACTATTCAAGATGATATATTTATAATCTGTTTAAAATTAAAACATAAAAACCTACAAATGAACTTTAATTAAGAATGTTTGATTCTATTCTTAGCCATCGTTATACAAGTTTTCTTTAAGATATGATAATTCAGTAGATATTTCCCTGCTTTATTAGTAGAATTAAATACCAGGGGGTTTGGAAATAAACATAAATTCATAAAATTGGTATAGTAAAGTCAGGCCAAAAAATTATTCTCTTTTATTGAAAAGAGTTTTTCAAGCACTTTCCTGTATGTTGGCTGGCTTCTGTCTAGGATGATACATTATTTATTATTTATTTGGACACATGAATATTGGTACAAGAGAGCGCCAATATATATGCGCCACACAAAACAATGAAAATTCGAGAGGAATACAAATTAAAAAAAGCTAAGGAGCGCAACAAAAAAAGAGAGAACAATAACGAAGAGATTGGTGTAAGGTAATGTGCTAGTAATCAGGGAACGCAAAGGTACAATCGGAAGAAATCTTTCAGGTAAGGGAGACACAACCACTTTTTATGAAGAAAGTAAAAGAAGGTTACAGCAGGATCGCCACTGGCTTCTATTCTGAGCCATATCTGATAACGTCTCTAGCCACTGTGTAGCACCATCTCTCAGACCCCAACCAGGGAGTCGTGAAGGACCAACACAAGCCAGTCCTTTGCAGCTTTCTTTCATGCCACGACACCATGTCATGCACTGACCACCTCTCCGCTTCTTCCAACCAGTCCCAGAGTCGGCAAATAATGCACGACGTGGAATTCTCTGGGACGACATTCGGAGAACATGTCCAAGCCACCGAAGTCGGTGTTTCAAGATGGTGACACCAATTGAATTATCATCTCTGTGCCCGAACACACGATGCCGAACCTCTGCATTACTGACATGGTGTTGCCACTGAATGTCAGCAATCCTTCGGAGACAGCGATGATCGAACACAGAGAGTCGTCTAACGTCCTCAACTCGGAGAGGCCAGGTTTCACAAGCATAGAGCAAAACTGCTCTCACCGACGCGTTGTAGATCCGACCTTTTACAGCCAGACTAACATCACGAAGGCGCCAAAGGTGGCCCAGATTGGCATAAGCCGCTCTGGCTTTCACTATTCGTGCATTGATCTCATCACTCACACCCCCACCAGCACTTATGCAGCTACCCAGATACACGAACTTCTCGACTACGTCTATCTGCTCACCATCCAGGGTGAGTACAGGATTGGAATCCTGCCAGTCTTGTAGAAGTACTTTGCACTTCGAAGGTGCAAAGCACATACCATACCTACGGACACTGATTGCCAACTGATTAAGTGCGGATTGCATGCCTTGGGCATTATCGCACAGTAAGACAATATCGTCCGCATACTCAAGGTCGAGAAGTCTTTCTCCAGGCAACAGATCCACACCACCATTACTTACATTCATCAGAGCTGTTTCCAGAATGTCATCGATGGCAAAGTTGAAGAGGAATGGTGAGATTGGGCAACCCTGCCTAACCCCACTGCTCGAATGGAACAATGGAGAGAGGTGGTTGTATGCCCTCACTCTGCCTGAGGTGTTTTTATATAGGGCTTTTAGGATGTTAATAAACTTCTCAGGCACACCCTTCTTCAATAGACAATCCCAGAGAACAGTCCTGTCCAACGAATCGAAGGCAGCCCTGATGTCAAGAAACACTACGATTGTTGGCCTTTGAAAGTATGGCGGTGTTCTAACATTTGGCGGAGGGTGAAGATATGATCAATACATCCTCGACCAGAACGAAACCCAGCCTGCTCCTCGCGAGTCAATCTTTCTCGGGTTTTGAACAACCTACGAAGTATGACGGAAGCCAATAGCTTGGACGCAATCGGAAGTAGACTTATCCCCCGATAGTTGTTACAGGAACGACGTGAACCCTTTTTAAAGATAGGGACAACTATCGACTCATTCCATGACGTTGGTACACACTCTAGTTCCCAAACCTTTGTAAACAACGTCGTCAATTCCTTAGTCAAAAAGTCACCACCATCTTTAAAAAGAGCCGGAGGTAAGTCATCTGGGCCAGGTGATTTGTAACGCTTCAAGAGTTGGAGTTCCTTGCGGACTTCCTCCTCGTTTGGTGGATCAGTCGTCACCGGCCATGGAGGGCAGGACAGTCTGACCGATGTTGCCGGAGCAGCAGGCCAGTTGAACTGCCCTTCGAAAAATTCTGCCCATCGTCCAAGACGTCGATGGATGTTAGTGATTGGCATCCCATCATCCTCGCAGATTGTTTCACTCACACCAGACTTCTTGCTGCCAGTGGCTCGGATGAGCTGGAAGAGCTTCCGGTAGTTACCAGATGCAGCTGCTGCTTCCAGCTCATTAGCACGCTTCGACCACCAGGCTTCTCGGTCCTTACGCAAGCTTTGCCCAATTTCCTTACGTAACATCCTTCGTTTATGGTCAAACTCACGGTCACCCGGAGTAGACCGACGGGCTTCAATGAGTTGTAAGGAACCAGAAGAAACCCAGTGCTTAAAAGCGGGACGTTTCGCAAACCCACAACTGACTGTTCCCGCCATTTTCATGGCGTCATGCAATTGCAACCAATGCTCATCTATACTTTTCGGTGGAGTGGTAGCTAGCCTAGAGGCTAGCTCGGTTCGATACTTACTTGCAACAGAAGTTGCAACCAGCTTGCTAACATCAATCCGTTGGTGGCGGTCACTTCGTTGTCCACTGAAAAGTAAGGCAAGATTGGCGCAGACCAAGGCATGGTCAGAGTCCAGATAGGTACTCCAAAAGGAGCGGCAGTCTTGTACACAACCACGCCAGCGGTAGCTGATCGCGATGTGATCAATCTGAGTCCAGGCTTGAGATGCAGAGGGAGGACGCCAGGTGGCACATCGGCGATGACTGTGCCGAAAGTTAGTGCTAGCCAGAAACAGGTTGTGGTCTGTGCAAGTTGCAGTAGACGGTCCCCGTTATCTGACCTGCGACCAACGAGTCCCCATCGGCCACCTAAACGACTCTCTTCTGTGCCTAGACGCCCGACCTGAGCATTCAAGTCTCCGGCTAGTACTACAATATCTGTCGAACGCACTTTCTGGAGAAGAACAGATAACTGGTGGTAAAACTCATCCTTGATTGCATCCGGGCTGCAATCTGTCGGGGCATAGGCGGAGATGACGAAAAGACATCGTTTCTCACGCCGATTTCTTCTCACTTTGATGGAACTTTCTAATCTAACAGCACATAACCGACTGTTAATGGGGATCCAATCGACTAGTGCTGCCTCAGCTCTAGCGCTTAGTGCGACACCAACGCCAGCAAGACCAGACGAAGATGCCACAGGGTCCCCGGATAAGCGCACGTAAAACAAGCTTTTCGAAGCGACAGATGGAGATCGAATTTGTAGTACTTCGCCAGAGTCTTGAATACGGGTCTCGGATAGACAACAAACATCAATATTAAGACTTTCCAAAGACATAGCCAGCCCTATCTGTTGTCCGACCTGCATAAATGTGCGAACGTTGAAGGCAGCCAGTTTGAATGGTGCACGTGGTTTCAGAAAAACTGCTTCAGTACTCGTATTCGGTGGTAACATACAATTTTCAACCGGACAGTGACTCGAGAACGTTTAGATACAGTCGGATTTCCACCAAAGACGAGCCGCTGTATAAGTATAAAAGAGGGTGAATAATGTGGGAAATAATAATAATAATAATAATAATAATAATAATAATAATAATAATAATAATAATAATAACGACAATAATAGTAATAATAATAGTATTAATAATGACAATAATAGTAATGATAATTATTTGAATCGACTGATTGTTTTTCGGAGCGATAAAAGTAGTTGCCAAAGACATAGAGTTCATCGTTTGTGTGTGGGCTGTGATACTGCCCGGGTGCCCAAACCGAAGCAGGTGGTTATCTTAGGGGGCCACTCCCCGAGCCTTTGACCTAAAGGTCTAACCCACAAGGCAGTGGAGCATCGTAAGGAGATGCAATCCCATGGTAGCCGGTGACCAACGATTGGTTCATACGCCATTTGTTCCCGCAGGATACTGGAGCCTATGTGCACCATTGGTTTGTGATACATACCTAGTCCTTAACCCTTTAAAAGGTAAATTTGGTTTGAATACTTCTTAAAATGATAGGATTGTGTTTTCCTGAAATCTTGTCAAAAGTTGATATATATATATATATATATATATATATATTATATATATATCATCTTTTTACATGACTTGTTTATTTTCCTGTTTTAATTCCTACTTTCCTTATGCCTATACTTTTCATTGGGTTTCAACTTCAGTTATTTTTGTGCAATCTTTCTATATGTTTAAATGTTTTAGGCAAGTGTATTGTGTTGTTTTGTAGATACTCTATGTTGACATTGTTTGCTTTTTTCTATACTCCAGTTTGTATCATTTGCTTGACATGATTTAATGGTGTGGAAATCTTGAATTTATTTAGTCGCAGTTGTTTCGGATTCATAACTTATCAATTTTATTATTTATTTTTTTTGTTAAAAAGAAATAAATAGTATTGATGCTTTTTACCAAATAATTTAACCAATCGTACTGCACTGCCATGTTTATTTCCGTTCATAGACATTACTGTTTATATTTACCTGTAATAAACTTGACTTTTCATCACTGACTTGATCTCTACCTCGTTTACCACTTCAGCGCAGTCGATCAGGTGGTATCATTAGTCTCTGTATAAATTCAAATTTGATCTGTTATTACTAATTTATTCTACTTTTAGCACACACGTTTATAGTATGTTTGACTCTAATATGCTCTCCATGATATTATGTAGTATTCTATTATCAAAGTGCGTGTTAAATCATATTTTCATTTTTTGTTTTGTAATCATAGATGAGAATTTTGTTCTGTCAGAATCTGATCCTCCTCAAAAGACTGATGTAAGTAGTCTACCATGATAAATGTTTTTCATTATTATTTTATTTATATCTAAGGACTTTCATAAAATATCTACCCAAGATACATTATCATACAGTCATTTATTGTTATTATTTTAATAAACAGAATAAACATTTTCCACATCACTTACGGTGAACAATGAGTGAAGACGATAGCTATTCAATACGGATAGATTCCTTTGTTACTGTAGAACTTAATGGGTCCTACAAACAGGATTAACTAGATGTACAAATATAACATATAACTATATTTGTAGCATTTTTAGAATTAGGGCGAAAAAAATAGCTTATTGAAATAGAAATAACTCAATAAGTAGTTAACATTTTTTAACAACGGTAAGAACAAAAAAGAAAGCACCAATTTAATGTTGTACAAAAGTTATGAAACAGTAAGTTTTAAACGATTTTTGAAGGATTTAAATATCTCAACATAATTCTCCTTTGTTGTTTATCACTATTTTCAATTATTCCTGTTTTAGTTCGAAAGTAATTTTTTTGTTATATTTTAAAACATTTTTCTAGCAATCTTCTCTACTGTTTAATTCAGAGCATGCCTCATTGATTAACCAACTTACTGAAGTTATTAACAATGCTACTGCTCAAAGATTATTATTAAGTGGGAATAATTATATATCTTCTATGAATGCTTTGTACAACGATGCTCAACAGTCTCAACAACCAATCTTAAATAATCAAGTAGCACTGTCGAACTATCTATCGAGACAAAGTTCAACACAACAACAGCAAAATCAGTTGGAAAATGTAACGTCTGTAGTTAAAGTGAGTCTTTAGTTAAACATGTGAACCATTAGATGGGAACATAGTGATCTAAAGATATTGCTCTCATCCTAAAGCCTGAAGGTACTGGGTTCAGTCTTCAGCGGGATCGTTCATGCCACTTTTACATAACGTTGTGCTGAAATGAGACAGCTATCCAATGATACTTGTTTTTCAACAGTCCATAATGTGAACTAACAAAGCTTTGAGCCTATTGTTTCATAAATAATTTTAGATGCCTAATATATTTCAACATATCTTCATGTTTAACTAACTGATAATTAGTTAATAAATCATTTTTCTCGTATTTCTGTCACTTAATAATACATTTCAGATATGTATTTATGCAACTTATTAGTCGAAGTCAATGTATTTCTACTCATATGATTAGGTTTTAAAACACGTTCCATAAACTAATTTATATTTAACCAGTAAGGCAATATGATTTGATCTATTTCAAAAGTTCATAAAGATGGCTATATTATAGACTTTTTTGATGATACGGACATGAATACATATGTGCAGTTGTTAAAATTGATAATAAGTCTAACAGCTAATAATTTTGTGTTATCAACAGCTAATTCCTAACCTTAATATGGATATATATTTCGTAAATCCCTGGATGTCATGACTCCGTAAAATAAAGAGATAGCTGCATATGTTGGAACTTTCAATCGTACCAAGATCATGTGTATAAATTAGTTGAGCTGTTAAAGAATATTATCTGTTATGCAACCCAGATTACATAGTCAATACCTATCTGCGATCTTTTATCTCTTAGTAATTAGAAGAGAAATACAAAGCTTGTTGAATGCACATATATTATGACTTTTTTGCTTTTGTTTATTATTTCATCCACTCTTGTCTTAGTACTTTCTTTATTCTACATCCCTGGGTGGTCACTTCGTATTTTTAAAATCTATACTTTATCTAGTGTGCTTTTACTCCTCAGTAATTTATAACTTCATTGTTTAAATATTATTCACAATCTTTTCTGCAGTATCTTTAATATAAATCCAATTGTTGGAATCCTGAACATATAATAATAATTTATATTCTGAAAAATAATAAGAATTACAGAATTCACGCCAGTTTACAGGCATGATCAATTTGATATGAATAATAACGTTAGACGTGCAGAAGAAACATGTGATAAAAGAAAGTTTCAAGTATACTAGTTCAGTAGTTGTTTAAGTAGTACATATATTACAGGGATCCAATGCATCAGCCGGGAATTTCTAATATTTCTTAAATGGACAGCCTGTTGATTTATGAACGGTGTAATTAAGGTCAATTCGTGTGCCAGATCGAAATAATGATAATTATCTACAACTAGAGAAATTAAAACGAAAACAGAGAGCACGGAACAACAAAGCAGTAATTACCAAAATATATCAATCCGGTCTACCTAAATGCGTGTGTTATGTGACACAGTGATATACTGGTTATGTTATTCAAATTAGTTAAAGTTGCTAGGGGCGGTGTTAACATATTGACAGCAAGTGGGTGGTTTTACTAAGGGAATTCACTAATAAAGATGGCTAAACATTTAAGGTTCATAAAATATCACTTGTGGAATGAGATACACTTAAAGGCGCTAGACCATTCAATGCATTTTCAGAGGAGCAGTATGCATCGATGCAGCGAACAAATAATGGGAGTGATTTTATCGTGCGGATAGATTGTGGTAGGTTATTCCAGAGTCTAGAAAATTTACAGGTGAAGTAATTCATATAAAGAGATGATTTAGAATGAGTTTGTTTCACTAGTGCCAAGGAATTACGGATGTAATAATGAGAGGTTTCTGCATATTGAATCGCGTGATCTGATGTAAACGATAGTTTATGAAGTAGTTTGAAGAAAAAGATAAGATTTAGTTTGAGTCTCCTCCTCCATAAAGGGTCTAGCCCAAGTTTATTACATCTAGAATTATAAGTTAAGGTACAATCAGCTCCAAGAATACGAAGTGTAAATCGTCTCTGTACTGATTCCAGCCTTAATTTATCCTTTATGAGCGCACTGCTAAGAATAAACGTGCAGTATTCCAGGAGAGGTCGAGCACAAACTTTGTACATTAGAATACGTGACTCAGTGTTGTAAAGATTTCGAGTTATGTAACCTATTAGACGTTGAGACTTAGAGGTCTGTTTTAATATATGTTCTGTAAACGACAAGTCTTGGGAATATCTAAGTCCTAAGTCTACTACTGTATGTAACCTAGGTAACACTTCTCCATTTATGGTAATGTCTAGGTTGAGTGATGTATTCCCGAAGCATATCCATCCACATTTAGCCGTATTTAATATTTATACCGAAATATTACTGTTCTAATTCATACTGAGTATTATCAGTAAAGTCTGATGGTTTTTAACATCGCGTTATGTTTGTGATAAAAAAATTAGTTTTAAGGCTGATCTACAATGATCAAAGGTGGTTTATGTGGCGTGCTTTCAAACCCTTTGAGTCTACATGTAGTTCGTGGACACTGTTGAAAAGGTGAAATACATGTTTGTACCCTAGCTAAAATATCGCGTCCTTATCTTTTTATTAGTTACAAGTTGACGTTAATAACCATTGATAGTTTCAAAACATGAAGTTAACTGTTATTTTACTGATGTGTTGGTATATACAAATTTGTTTCAGTCCAGCAAATAAACTGGTGCTATCCAAATGGAATATGTTCCACTTAAACTTTAAATCAATTACTTGCTGAATATTCAAGATGGTCATTATGCTACTTCAAATTGAATCTATATGTTTATAAGTTTATGAAAAACATAGTGGTTTATGAATAGATTCTTTTATTCTTATAAATAAACCTCTGAACAACTCTATTGGGCGTCTGATCTTTTATGCCAGGTTAATCTAATCTTGTTTTGTAAACTAAAAATAGGCACCACTCTGTATAGCATCGATATAAGCTTACACACAATGGCCTTATATTATGGAAATAAATGATTGATGCATTGTCGTATTTTTCTACTATTTTTATTACCAGTGTCCAGTTATGTGATACATTATTGGGGATAAAAACCCGTGTTTTAGATTATATCTACTGAAACTCTATAATGTTAGATAACAAAATAAAATTATTCGAGCTTTTTTGTACGATGAATTGGCATTAACTGAAGAACTGATGGAAGTAGGTAGTACTGGACACTTGTTCCGTCACAGTTTGATAATCCTCAAATGGTTGTTTGAATCATCGTCATGAAAGCTGTTTAATTTGAACTGATGTTCTTATTGGTTTTTTTGTTTTCTTTATGAATATAGCAAAATCGCACCGATTTTTTTTACCAATTTTTTTCGACTAGTTCATCATCCCATTTAAACGATATCACTCATTTACTGCTTTTCATCCTTACCAAAACGTAATGTTTTATTGTATAGTCAAGCTAATGAAATATAATTGTGTCCATTTAAGAAAAAAGTCCAACAAACTCATTAAAATAAAAGAAATAGTATAACAATCTATATGTCACTCTTTTTAGCTCATATGACTGCGAATGTGTTGCCATAAAATCAATGTATTTTTCATTTTTTAATTTTAAGGAAAGGCAAGTTGTTAGTTTTAGACACAAATCATCAATTCATCTGCCTCACACATCGTCGTTTATCAGGAGGGAATCGGACCTATTATTATTATTATTATTATTATTATTCTTCGGTAAACTGAACTATATGTCTTCTTAAATGGGGAAACATATGTCTTGTCATAGTACTCAACCCTCACTGAACTAATTTGTAGAATATCGGACGAATATGTTTAGATTTAAGCAACTGTATTCTTCTTTATGTAAATGATTGTGCACTAAGTAAATTGTCCATTGTAACTCATCAAATGTAAGTTTGTGTACTCTACATGTAACTTACAGGTTTTGGTACTGAGGCTAGTGAGTTGTATTATCCGGCTGCTAGAGGTGGGATCTTCGTAATTATATTTCATTATTTCAAATCTTATGAAAATAGTTGATTTATTAAGCAAATTGATTGTTTGTGAAAATAGACCGGAAAAAATTTCAGTATTAATCTGAGCACCACCTACACTTTAAGCAAATCAGAAAAAGTAGGAAATCAACACCTCTCTGAATATATTTACATTAAGCATGATAGAAATGAATCATCACAAAATAATGGATGGAACAAATTATACTGTTCGAAATCCAAGATCTCATAGTTCAGTGATTGATTCCAAAGCATATTACAGTGTTTTTAACAAATGGTTTCTTTTTTATTTCAAAGAACTCGTAGAAAAAGTTTAGACTTCTATACAGGATTATAATCAAAGGTTGTTTGTTAAACTTATTTAAGTTCGTCGTAGTTTATCAAACTTCAATAATACTTAGCGGATCAACATCAGCATCACTTCATAATGCTTTCGGGTTGTGGACTACTGAAAATTGGCTATAGACTTCTTGAACTATCCATATAAATGTTTTACACGACGTTGCTGTGACCTCCTCTGTGGACCGACGATTTTTATTTAAGTAGTAGTTCACAAAAGCGTTACCCCTGTTGTTTAAAAAAATTGTGCATATAGTGTTGTCGCTCTAGTTGATTAAAATAAATTATTATTGATTCTAATGTTCACTCACATAAGGTTCACCACAAAATTTTTCACAGTTTTATTTGTTTTCCATCAATGCAGTAAAATGTCTTCAATATAACCCTTCTGTATTTATTGAAATTTGTATAAATGTGATCAGCGTCATTAACTTTCACATATATAATATAAAATGCTTGCTTGTTTGTGACTGCTGATATGTTTCCGTTTTAATCTTCTCTCATTTCTTCAACTTAATTTAGCAGGAACTAATAGATTTGATTAGTCTGAAGATAACCTATATATATATATATATATATATATATATATATATATATATATATATATATATATATATATATATATATATATATATATATATATATATATATATATATATATATATATATATATATATATATATATATATAACAAGTGGTTTTAATACATTTTATCATTAAATCTGGCTAATATTCTCAGTACCTTCTCTTATATCTCATTTACTACTAATACTTCTAATTAGTTACTAATTGTATATTTATTCCTTCTTTTTGTGCTTAATATATATTATTTTGTAGCCAACTGAGCGTAAAACAAGAAAAAAATCGAAATCGAAACCACGGTATATTTTACGCGTTACTAAAATTGAACGAGATTCTGAAAACTGTGAACCTGGTAACTTGAGACCAACATTCTACTTAGAAATGCCAGATATCAATAATCCAAATAATGAATTATGGAAGATAACTTTTCGTTGTAATTTATCCGATACACTGGAAGACATAAAGTTGGTATGTTTTAATTGGTTTTTCTTTCCACCTACATGTTAACCCCGATTATCTGCATATTCGATTTCATAGTTTATACATGAGCAACTACTTTCAAATTAGTCCATTACTCAATTGTAGCCTTTATATTTTCTAATAGATTGTAATGCTTCATATAAGTTTAATTTTTCAAGGTTTATTTGTAGATGATAATTTTCTAATTACTGTAAGGATATTCAGCAGTCGTTTAAATAATTTTTCTTCCTATAAGGGGGAAATAAATGATGACAGAATTTAGTGGTGAGTGTTCAGTCGTCGTTATTCAGGCAACTGTGAAAAATGATATTTACTACGTGGTCGATAGAACTTTCTGTGACTGAACAACTTTTATGGTCGAAATTTTTCTCTATAAACGATGATGGCTGTGAAAATTTGTTTTTGATGTAAACTCCATAATGAACAACCTACAGAAACGTGCTATGCTAATAACTGCTTAAGCTACATTATCTCTAGATAAGACATTTTACATCGAATGTATTCAGTAAACACTAAAAATACTAGACAAGGTTTTACTCTTTGATCATATGCTTGTATCATGGGTATTTTTTAATGGTTAAGAAGAAATGATGAACAACTAATGTAATGCAATATACGATGCTTCACTGTACGGTCTGAAATATTGATATTTACAATCTTCATGTAATGCTTGAAAGCTGTACTCTTGTACCTTGTCCTATAACTATTTGGAATGAACTAAATGTTTGTATTTCATGTATAACGTGAAACTTTTTTTTCTCTCTGTGTAGTTCATTGACGGAATAAATATTGATTTTTATAAATACATTAATAAAATTGGTTCAAACTTTCAATTGTTTCAGACGAGTCGTTTTTGTTTGTTTAGTATTTATTGTCGATAACTTAACATACACTGATGGTCCCAACCACCTAAAAACTTAGCTATGAATTTAATTGTTGTGTTTTCCATGGATTTGATTCACAGTTCTTACATAATGGATCTTATCATTTTCTATGGTATTTTCCTATTAATAGTAGTAGGGTAATACTATTAATCATAATAATAATAACACGGTAAAGATATTTAGTAGAATTAAGATTTCGGCGCAAAATAAGTGTTGATAAAGGAAATGTAAATACTGTAAGTAGAAAAGTTTGTAATTAATAAATTCTCCATGTAATAATCATTGTATATTTAAATAGTATGGATTTATTCATTTTATTCTGTAACAACCGTATAATTTAAGGTTATATTCAGTGTCCTAACAATTGATCTATTTAATCAGATGTACATATATTCTGTTAGTATGTCGAGATCACTTATATTTGATTTATTCATTGATTGATTTAAACATTTAACTTCTATAGTTTCAAGGATCTGACTATACTCCTGTTAACAAGGATATTGATCGTGCCGCTAAAGAAGGAGTTATGAAATTACTGGAAGCTCTACGTAATGATGTCCATTCTGTAAAGTTGAACCAAGATTATATTTTCTATCCTCAACCATCTAATGTGGGATTTGATCAAATAAATCGTCTACCCACTAACTTGTCGAATGCACCATTCTTTCAATCTAGTGTACCTACCAACTGTAATTCCACTAATCAATTTAGTAACAGTGGGTTTCAGAATCCGGGTACTTGTTTACCTTGTTTATCAACAATACCATATGACAATTCAACGTTGATTTCTAATTTCGAAGAAATTCAACCATTAGATTCTAAAGGTTAGTTAAAACGTTGCATCAAGTTGTTTTCGCGTGGAAAAAAGTTTTCAATTCGTTTAACCAACATTAGATGAAATCCGTCCACATACATGTATTAGCGAGATGTAAATTGGATTAAAGCATTTACTGTGCAGGATTGCGTTGGAGCAAATTAATCGGTCATTTCTTGGCCGATAAGCTCTAGCGGATGACTGAAGAAAACTCTAGAATTTTCTTGTGCAAAACCATAAGTGTACTAACGTTTTTCTTACTGCGATTCTTACTCCCATTCAGCTTTTTTATTTGGAATGTAATTACGTCCCTGTTCAACCGTTTTCCGATCTATGGATTAGTTGAGTGAAGTAAAGTGTCCGAAGAATAGTAAGCAATAATACTAGCTGGGGTATTATATAAGAAATCTTAACACCATGTTTGTAAAGAGATTATATTTCTAAAATTCTAAACATGCTTATGGTATGCCACAACCATCAATTATCATTATAGTTTTATCACTTTTCGAAGCTATCTTTCAAGGAGGTATGTGCATCAAAAGACCTGCATATAGATTATATATACCTTGGCATAATAAGATGCAACTGTTTTTTTTTATTGAGACTGTTCTAATAAGTTTATTTGGCTGACTGTATGTATTATGTAATGAAAAATGTCTTTCGCGTGGATTAAAGTATCTTATATTGTTTTACTTACTTATTCATTCTCTCTCTATCAACAAGTGGCTTCTTTACACTTTGAGTAAGCCATTTTATTGAGCTTTAAGTTTTGGTGTTTTTTCCATAAGTTCACGAACCGACAGTTTGGTTCATCATACCTTTTAATTGAATTGATATATAGTGTCCGGTAAATTCACTTTTTTTCTATTTACATATTTACTGGTTTGTGAAAATTAACTCATATTAGTTATTACACTAATACTATTTCTTGTTTGAAATATCTATCTTTAGATCTGGATGATGAAGAAGAATTCAGTGAAAATTCTAGACCATTGTCTCCGGTCGATAATATAAACCAACCAATCAATTATCTTTTTCATCCTGTAGCCAGTAACCCTGAACCAATCAGCAATCCTATAAATAATATAATCCCTCAATGTATGATGTATTACGCTGCTTCATCTTCTGCTGTTGGGTTACCTACTTCCGACTCAATTATTAGCAATATCAGGATAAAGAGTGGTCTTGGCCAAATTCCTGGGAATGTCCCTGCACCTGATATTTCAAACAGTAATTTCGTCACACAATCATTGTTGCCAATGAACTTAAACTATATAAATGATATTTTATCTCTACCTGTCGGTCGTTTAGAAAATGGAAGCGTCAACCTTTTTAATTGCCAAGCTGGTTTAGAAGAAGTACCCCCTCTCGTTCCACGCCTTTCTGAGCAATCAGGTGCTGCGCTTGCTGAAATTTCAAGATCAACATCTTGCAATGAGTCTACAACTCGTGATCCAGTTATCATTTCTCAATCAGACAATCTAGCTTACCAGTCATATAGTACTCATCCTTTACGTAATATACAAATTTAAATCATATCTCTACTTGTAATCAGGGTGGGATTGGTTATAATTCTTCAGTTTCTTGCACTCCAGAGGAATTGGTAAATGTTACTGTCACTATTCCCGCCTATCTGGAAACTACTTTGAAGAATTTGGTTTCTAACTTATGCTCAAACCCTTCTCATGCTTGCATCTTGATACCGACCGTAGAATCTAATGAAATATCGTCTTTTTATCGTTGCTCTGGTATGCGAGTAATTGATATACCCGATGGACACATGTTTGTTGGTATTCCTGGAAATCGACGCATGCCCTCTGGCACCTGTTTACACAGCACATTTCTGACAACTGTCGAGGGGAACTCTGAAAAACTTTTTGTTCTCGCATCTGGTGCTAATTCTGATGGTAGTTTTTCGGGACCTCATATTTACAGAATTCCAAAAGACTCAGCTCTAGTTCTAACTCGCACAGGAAATATTCAGTTGTTAGACAAAGCTGCTCTTGTTGTTCCGGTTCGTTCAATGGAGCATTCTCATTCTATCAGTCCACCTAACTCTCCTGTTCACGAATCGGGAACACATCCTGTCGTGTCATCCGTGTATGTCCGAAAGTTACCTATTCCTTCAGACGTTGATGCACTAAGCTTTGATGATGTTCTTGCCCTTTTAATGGCACTGCGTGATGCACCACATGGTGCCATGCAATCACATCACTTAAATATGATTGGTACAAATATTGATGGAGAAAATGTCGCTATAGGATCAACGCTTTGCCGTTTGATAATAACTTAGGACCTGAATCTTTAAGCCGCCGATCATCTGCTGCTACGACTGTACTCCCTGCATCACCTAATTACTACTCGACACAAATACAAGCTGTCCCTGCATCTGGAATGAATCCTAACCAGTCGTCACTAACCGTAACGAATCAGCAACAAGTGCAAAGCTCACTTCAGTCTGAGTTAAATACAGCATCCCAGTTTTCAATCCCTATTTCTATTGGTCAACAACCAATTAATCAATTGGCAGGCACAGTTAATTCACGGCTTTCTCTACCTGATCAAATTCAATCACTTATTCAGTCTGTGAACCAACAATTTTCTCTACAATCACTTCCGTATTCTGCTGTAAAAAGTGGTACTACACATATAAATCAAACAAATTTGTCAACAGATAATATGCAGCCAGTTCAATCTATCGTTGCTCAAAACCAATTATCTTTACCGCTCAAAAATATGTTTTCACAACAACAGTTATTACAGGATCAAATGTTAGTAAACAATCAAACTCAAGGCAATCCATCCTGTTTACCGAGTTTACAGTCACAAAATCAGCAGCAACAACAACAGTCCACCGTATTTCCACAGTCACATACCCAGGCTCAGTCAAATTCTAGTCAATCAAAAGATTCACAACATCAAACAGTTGTGCAACCAAATACACAACAACTCTTACAACTATTATCAGCCCTTAACACTCTACAAAATTTAGACCAGGTATATAGATTTTTTTAATTTTCCAAACATGAAGCATTAAATTTCAGTGTATTTTTTCAATCATGTAAAATGATCTTTTAAAGGAAAACGTTTCAGTAAATCATAAAACAATGTACCCATACAACTACATTTGTACAAATATTGGTTTTTAATACATACGAGCCTGGAATAACGTATATATTGATTTAAGTTATACTTGTACTCCGTTGAATCCCGGCTCAGTTGTCTAAAGGCTATGTTCTCTCGCGAGACCCAGGTTCTGGGCTCGACACTAGGTTAAGTAAAAATGGGTACTGTTGAGGGCGAAACGGCCGTACAGTTCTTCTGAGTTTCTGATGATTGTGATTTCAATAAAATCTCTCAATCTCATATTGACATATATGTATATATAAGATTTAATGAATATTAAAGAGATACTTTTTATTGATTTAATGCCTCTGAATGCGCTGGTACGGGGTGGTGGGTATGGGGAACACCCATATAAATGGTACACAATACTCTCTAGTATCCTGAGGAAGAAAATGACTTTAAACCCATTCTCGGTCACCGGCTACTATAGGACTTCATCTATCGTTGCTCCATTGTCTTGTGAATCAGATCTCTGAGTCAAAGTCTAGAGGAGTGTTTCCTTAAGAAAACCAGAGGGTTGTGAGGAAATGAAATTCCATCGTAGCCGTTGGTTAGTGTAGACTCATATATCATTTTCATTGAGAACCATGTCTGCTCCAGTGTTATGTAATCATGGTTTCCCAACTCCGTAGATGGATTTGTTGTACAGACTAATATTGGATTAACCTTTATGTTGTGTGCTCATTCATCGTCAACTCTGAATAGTGAAAAAATCTATTTTTAATGCATTTGAATTATTTATTTATAATAAATGCAGTTGAATACCTAAGCGTTTGATATGTGATCATGTATTATCTAGTGCATATGATCGTAACTATTTCCATTATCTTAATCATTTTAGCAATACTGTTTGTTTACAACTACCATGATAAAGTGTAGTGATTAGTTAGTCTTTTCGATCTGGAATAAAATGTATTTCATTTTTGCATTTCACTGTTAATTGACAAGACTTTTCTGATTTTACACCCAGTCTAAGTGTAACCACTTATTATTTCATCAATTATCACTTTAGGTACCTCAGTTACTTTCGAATCTTCTAAAGACTTCGAGTCAGTTCGTTAGTCCAGCACTTAAATCATCCGCAGGTTCCGGAGCTGTTGGCACTGCTCCAAGTGTTGGTGTAGTTCGACATTCTAGACAAGTTTCTCCTCCAGTATCAACACAACCTGTAACTCTTTCTTCAACTCAGTCTCAAACAAATCATATTCCCCAACGGTTTAATAGTGTTGCATATCCCTCTGTATCTAATGCAGGAGTATGCGCAGCCAGTGTGAACTCTTTGCCTGATTTATTGGGTCGTTTACTATCCTCTGCAGCTGCCAACTCCGAATGGCTTAGTGTCAGTGAAGTTCAAAAACATCAAGGTATTCAAATACATCCCTCGTTTGCGCAAAGTAATCTCTCATCATGTGGATCCACTCTGGAAAATCAAGAGAGTTTGAATATTCAATCTGCAGTAAAAACATCGACAGTTCAAGGTGGTGGAATTCTCACATCTCAATCATCACAGCCTAATCAACAGCAGCAACAGTTAATCCAAATACCAACACATCAGCAGTCAACTCAAATGCAGTCTCAGTTACAACATTCTCAGTTAGTAAGTTCACAACAATCTTCTCAAATGCAACCACATGTCTTACAGCAATCTCATGCAACATACCATCTACACAGACTCATTGTCAGCAGCAACCGCCTCAAATGTCCGGACAAATTCAACAACTAACTCAGCTGCAGCCAACGCCACAGCCGGCCCAAATACAACAACAACAAACGTCTCAAATATTATCTCAGATACCATCACTTCAGGTACAACAACAAACACCTGTTAATCCTCAAATACAAACACATCAAATACACCAACAACAAGCATCTCAGATTCCATTGCAACAACAAGGTACACAGTCTCAGACACTACAAACATCACAACAACAGCAATCCTCTAATCAACCTCATATCACACAACCTATTGCTGGGCAGCAACAGTTTCAGTATAATTCACAGCAGTGGCAACAACCACAACATTCATTAAATGTCATGCCAAAATTATCTTCTCCTTTGCCAATCAAAGACAGAAATCAACAACAATTATCTTTATCTACTGCTCATTCATACCTGAATCAAATTTTACCCGAGTTGGCAAATGCTATACGCTTAGTCCAACAAACTCCTGATAATAATAGTGTAAGTTTTGTTTAATTTGTTTTCATATGCCTTTTCCTATATATATATATATATATATATATATATATATATATATATATATATATATATATATATATATACTGTTATTTGTCTGTTGATCGCGGTGTTAGATTGGTTAGATAACTATACTTCCATCTTACACCTAAAAGACCTTTACGGTTGTCCTTGCTTATCAATAACCATGTAAATGGTAGATTATAATCAGTGTGGCGATTATGATGTACCACCTAATTTTCTTTTTGTTTATTCAATAAATGAACTGTATATTGATTGACCGACTAAATAGTGTAAAATTATAAATATGGGTCATTTGGCTGACCCATCTATAAAATCCATGACGTTTTAGATTCAGATTTTTACTTGTTTTAATTACCAATTGATTAAATAGTTGTTTTATGCATCGAAATTCAAATAAATATTTCATAGTATATTGGATTGCCAAGTTACTTAAAATGTGTAGTAAAAGAGTTCATTTTCGGTGTTTTATTTTTTAATGATTCAACAAATTATATTTTTCAATAAAATTCTTATTTCACAAACGATGTCTATTTTAGAATTTCTTAAAGTAGACTAGCATAAATAGGTAATCAGTTTATTCGTGGTATCAAAACAATTTATGGGTGAAACTCTTTATCTACCATCAATATACACTTGTCAAATAAAATAATGCAACTTGTGTTATTTTGCTTGATTCTTTTAAATTCTGATTTTTATTCCCGGAGAAATTATAATCAAGTTATCGATAATGGACCAACATCTTTTCTTTAATACGACTATTATCTCTAGAATTTTTAATATGTTGTATCTAACGTACTCAAATTTTGTATAATTTTCTCTTTTATTCAATTCCGACTGCATATGAACAGTAACCAAATAATCGTATCTCATACTTTTTTTGGTTTCTACAATCCAATCACTGTATCATTGGGTAGACTACCTATCCTACTAGTACAGTGAAAACTCATAAGCAGGATGTGTACGCATACGTGAAGATGTTTTAGTTTGAAATGTCCTCATTAAAAATTCCATTATCCGTTATCTTGGATTGTATAAATATTCAATTGTATTTATTTCACTTTTTAGGTATTTGTTTGTAAATCTTTGTTTACAAGCCATTGTAAAAACTAATTATTTAAAAAATATATTTATCAGTGACCTTATATTCATCTGTAAATTGTAATATATTGTTAATTTTCTAATAAATATGATTCTAATTAGTTAGGTATTTTGGTAATTAAAAATAGAATTTGTCTGATTTGTCGAAATATTCTCGAATCCATCTAGATCTAATTAGATCAATATTTATTTATTTAAGCACATAAACGTTGATACAAGGAAGCACTAAATATATATGCGCCTCACAAATCATTTGACATGTATGACGGCTGGAATACTGCCTGGGCGCTCAAACTGAAAAAGGTTTTCTTAGGGGCCACATCCCGAGCCTTTGACCTAGAGGTCTAATCCACAAGGCAGTGGTGTAACGTAGAGAGATGCAGTCCCATGATGGCCAGTGACCAACAATAGGTTCATACGCCCTTTGTTCCCTCAATGTCCTGCAGTCCATGTCCACCATTGGTTTTGAATCCGGGTTTACCAACTCCCCTATGTGAAGGCTCAGTGTCCACCAAACCGGTTAAAGTTCCGGATATTCGCTTTTCGTTTCCTCAATGTCGTAAACAATACCCCACCCGCTAGAAGGCAATAAGTAGAACTTCCCTGGTAATGACTATATGACGTCATTTTGGGAGAGATTGAACTCTCCTTATCTTCACTCGTACCAGCGCATTCGGGGGCATTAAATCAATAAAAAGTATCTCTTTAATGATTATTAAATATTTATTTATTTATCTTAATCCATTACATTGTAAACTCTTATTCTATTTGGTCAACATCTTATTCTGGTAGGAACTGCTTGCAATAAAATATCATCTATCTTTAATATATCTCTATCTTTCTTTCTTTAGGCTGGTTTTCTCCCTTTAGATGTTCAGAATAAATTACTCACTCTTCTACAACAACAACAGGTTCAAAACCAACCTCCTCACCTATCAGTTCAAGAATTACCGTTCAATTTCACAGGGACAAATACCATATTTCCTACTTGTGTAGCCGTAAATAATAGTACTAATCAAATTTTAAATGTCCACCCTTCATCAAGCAGTTCGAAACTGCCTATTCCTTCTAATTCGAATTTCGCTTCTTTAAATCGGTTTATTGTCACAGCTTCTAATATATCAACGTCTAATCCGATATGTACTGCTATAACCTCCAGTTCAACACATGACCATGTAGCATTACCTGTTGATGTGACTAAAGATATTAACAATGTTGAATATCCCCTTACTAGTCTACCAACTGAACAGCCAAGCATCACTTCAACAAGACCTGTGAATGCATCAGGAACAACCGTTGCTAACAAGTTTACAGTACGTTGATGTACTTATTATTTCTAAAAGCATTTTATTCGGAATCTGGATGTGTATTTATACTCTAGTTCCTAATGATTTTTAAGTAATCTCTTTAATAATTACACAGAAAAGGATTTCAAATTTTTTTTGACAATTGCAAAAACTGAGGAACTTCATCACTTGTTTAGGGCTATCTATCGGAATAACTTACTGTGTAGAAAGTCTATTCCAGCTGGATCAAAATTTTAACTGAGGGACGTAATTAATTTCGGTGGTTTATGGATAGGACAACCATCGACTTTCTATGTTGTTAAAAACTTCGAACATGTGCTTTCTCTTTTGCTTTCCCATCCCAGACTCATTGTTGGCGAATCTGAGGAAGTCTGTTCACACGAATCGAGCAAAACTTTTGAGGTCTAGAAAATTGTGTATGAAAATTATGAAACGATTTTGCGGTCGAAGTTTTTAACTTTTATGACGTCCAGGAATGTTTTGAACATTCAGTCAGCTACAACGTAGGACCAGGCACATATGTGTATCGGTCCAAGTTGCCATACCTCATGTTTTGAACAAGCGAAATAGGAATAATGTAAGTGTATTGTCATAAATGGGGGGTACTTTAAAGCTAGTATGATTTTCGTGCTCTATAGTTAGTAAAATAAATAATTTCATAACTTTAGTTTAAGTATTTATTTGACAGAGTATGTGTTTAACTGTCAAATGAATCTGAAGCAGTAATTATGTTAGTCTAATTATTCGTTATTTTTCATAAGCAATTGGATAAATGAATGCTTTTTTATTTCGATTACTGGTATGAAATTTTACGTTTTTATGTAAAATTCAGGTGGCTCCTGCAAATCTGGAAGATGATGATACAGGTGCTTCGACGATCTCTCAAATATCTGGACCCATTCAACTGCATCAAGCTCCACCTCCAAGACCGCCTAGACAACAACGTGCCTATTCTGCTTCAGTAGTTGGAGTACACGTAACAAATGATTCACCAGGGCATGCATCGATGGCGGTTAGTGGGACAAATGTCAGTTTGATACCTAATATGAATCAAGCTATGCCTAGTAATGGAACAGTTACTAATGTCAATGTAGGACTTAATATGAATCAGCCTCCGCCTATCGGATCAGCGACAAATGTCAATCAACTTCTAATGTTCCATCAGCAAACAAGGCAATTCCCTTAAAATATCTTGTTTGTTTCATTGTTTTCGTTTATGTAATCTATATGTATGGGCTGATATCGTGTTTCGGTGTACTGGTTATGTATTTCTCATATAAGAATATTCTGGAAATTCGTCAAATGGTTACTAAATTAACGGTCTAATTTTTGTGAATAAGCGTCAGTTTTTCGTTTCATCTTACAGTTTTGTCATCATAATGATCCATGTCTAGTCTTCTTTTTCATGTGATCATTCTCTTAAATTCTGTGTTATCTAGCTGAAAATGTTAGCTTTAGGGTTTTTATTGACCTAGCTTCTGGTCAATAATGTTCGTGTGTATGTAATTAGCGATTCATTCGCCATTTTTGGTAGCTTCTTCGGCCTGCATGAAAATTTGATGTATTAAATTACATATTATAGATTGCATAATTCAAATGTAGAAGTTTATATCAAATATCCCCATATTGACCAGAAAAATAATTGCAAACTCTAGATTGGTAGTTTTAAAATAACAAATACATCTGTGCATGGTTATTAAAAGTCATATGATACAATCAGTTGAATTTTAAGGGCTACTGAATTTTTGTGAAAGGTTTTCATCTCTTGGTTGTTATTTTGGTTTCCGTGAACATGATATAAGGGTATGAATAGACTTTTCGAAAGTCATTTAATTATCTTTAATTTTATCACGTCGTGGTTTTAACATTGTGAAACAATTAACTACCATTCAAATTTGTTGTTTTAGTAGATAGTTCCAGTTGTATTAAAAATATCTTTATGATATTTTAGTTTACAGAAGCGGTTTAACCAACTCAGGATTCAGTCGACTTAGAATTCTTTATTGTACATTCTCCATTATCTCTCCTGACAGTCGCCCTAGCTTTTGGCCAATGTAGATACTAGTGTCTTTTATTTGAGAGAACACACTACTATCTAGCCATGTTTGTTTTCACATTATGCATGTTTTCTAACAGCAAGATTCGGATAAGATCTAATTACATATTTTATACATAATATATAATACTTTATGTAACCCATACTATATGGTGAATATCACTTTCTTTTCGTGAAAACAAAATCTACTATTATCTTTCTACATCTTGTTATACTTTTCTGTCGTAGCATTTCTTTTATATTTCTGTCTTACTTTTGTTTTCCTTTAATGATTAAGCTTCAATTGTTTTCTGCCAAATGATTCTTATGTAGAAAAATTGTGTGTATTTTGCGTAAGGACCTGGAAGCCTAGTGGTCGAAACGTAGTTACAAGTCGGAAGCAGTAGCTGGACCTGATAACTATCGGAAACTCTTTCAACTCATTTGAGTCACTGGCTGCAAGAAGTCTTGTGGTAATGAAACAATCTCAAAAGCTGATAGGATGTGTTCTTCGAAGAATAGTCCCACTGATCTGCCGCCTCGGTGATATCTATCGGACTGTTCTGTCCTTCATAGCCGGTGGCGACTGACCTACCTAAAGGGGTGGAATTTCATAAGGAGATTTGACTCTCGAAGCGCCACAATTCATCGTGCCCTAATGACTTACATGTGGCCTTTTTAAGGATGCAACAACTGTCAAGAGATAAGTTAACTTCCGTCTGCGTCCAATCAATTGGTTTCTGTCATAGTTAGCATATTGTCCAAAACCTGTGAAACATTAGTTATTCTGGTCGAGGATGTGTTGACCATATCTTCACCTTTCATTAAATACCGGAAGACCTCCATACTTATCACAGGCTAACAATCACTGTGTTTCTTGACATCAAGGCTGCCTCGAATCAGTGGACAAGACGATTCATTGATGGGTATATATAATGATGGAGTTGATCTGTCACTTGCAGATAAGCGTTTTGACCTTGATTATGTGGCAATATTTCTTGCTTTATGATGATACCTAAACCGTACAATCTGTACATGATCTTTAGGTTGTTAATACTTATACACATGGCATGTGCGTTGCACCTTCTAGGTGTGGAACGCTTTGAGAAGGCTGGCAGGAGCTTGTATCTACGTTCACTCTTTATATTGAGCAGTTAGAAGCAGTCGAAAAGTTCGTGTATGTAAATAACTGTGTAAGTGTTGGTGGTGACGTGACTGATGAGATCGCTCTACGTATGGTTAAAGCCAGAGTGGTCTGTGCCATTCTGGTCCATTTCTGACTCTGCGATCTTATTCTGTCTGTAAAACGTCAGACTTAAAATGCGTCGGTGAGAGAAGTTTTGCTTTATACTTGTGAAACCTGAAGTCTTCGGGTTGAGGACGTTATGTAACTTCTGTGTCTCCAAACGTTTACCGACATTTATTAATAATGTCATGCTAGTGATACAGTTGTTTGTCAACGTGTGTTTTGGTACAGTGACGATAGTTCAGTTGGTGTTACCAGCCTAAAACACCGACTTTGGTGGCTCAGACATATACTACAAATGTTATCTAAGCGAATTGTACATCGTGCATTATCTGTTCACACTGGAACTGATTGGGAAGAACAGAGAGGTGGTTCGTTTATGTCATGACACCGTGTTGTGAAAGGAAGATATACTTGACCGGCTTCTGTCAGTCGATCACGACCACCCTTTTTTGGGGTCTTAGAGACTCAGAAAAAAGCCATTGGCAGTCCTACTGTAATTGCGTTTTACTTTCTTCATAAAAGTTGAGAGAGCATTTTTGACTGTGAGGATTCTTCCTGGTTATATTTGTCTTGATTGTACTGCATCTCTGATTATTTCTCGTAGTTCTCATTTACTTATTTTTATTGATTTATTGTTTTTATAATTATGCTTACCTTCTCTCATCTATCTCTTCACAATCTCATTTCTTTATTGTGTCACATCACTAATTTAGTATCAATTTGTCAAACAATCAATTGTTCCATTATATATATATATATATATATATATATATATATATAGCTGACAGGAAGTCTGAATTTGTTTTCTTACACACTTCCATTATTTTCAATTTCGGTCTGTAGAACAATGGATATAGTAATGCTGTAAAAAAGAATATTCACCTATCATGCATATAAAGTGGGTCGGCGAATTGGTGGTTTATTTGGACGAATAAAAACAATGTACCTTAATTGTTCATTGTATGGTTCAGACAACGGTTATCATTCATTTTCAAGTTAACCAGTATTCTTCTTACTGCTCTGATTAGTGTAATTATTGTGTGTGTATTTTCAATGTATGTGGAATAGGTGTTCGTCGTTTTCTTTTGTGATTATAACTAGATGTTTGATAATGATAATGGTGATGTATTCAATCGTTAGTTTTCTAAAATTCGATTACAAGACATATTCTTAAAGAGATTCTTTTAATACTAAGATATTCCGGTAGAAATATAAAACATTGTGTGAAATTATGAAATGACTACCAACATTAAAATTTTTAATAAGCTATCTGTAGAGCAGATTATTTTTTATATTTTGATTGTTTAAGACCACATTGTATGACGACAAAACAAATTATTATTGTCAGCATATGCGTAACTGTGTTAATGCTTAAAGTAGACAGTCACCTAATTGATCGCTTCTCTTAATAGGATAGTGGAAAATAAACAATCTAGCATGACGTATGTGATGTGCTGTGCCAATTGTTTATTTATACTATTTGACATTTTTACATATTGGTTATATCAAAGGGAAATACCGCTACACTTTTTTAAATACCAGTGTAAATTCTTCTTATCTCTACGTAGATTTTGTGATAAATGTAGTTATGCTTATCTATGCTATATTGTCCGTTATTTTACTCTTTTCCTTAGATTGAGAATATACCCTTACAAACTGGCCCATCAACTGTAACTTTTCCAACTACTACATTAACCGTTACGCTACCTCGAACTCAGAACCTTCCTCCTCATCAAACTAAGTCATCTGTTCCGAATATAACAACTGCCATTCCGTCAAATGTAGTTCATTTATCTACTTCTGTAATTCCTGCCTCTAATGTAACTAATCCAATTCAATCTGGATCTCAAATTTCAAGTTAGTGGAATATTTTTCGTTCTCCAGAGGCCATAAGTTTTGCGTTTTTCTCATCAAAGTGAATTAAGTTAGGATTCATGAGTATGTTTTTTAAAACTAAATTGTTTGTGTATTTATCAAGAAAAAGAATGTCATATGTTATTATTTTTGTTCACACTTCTACAGTTTTTTTTCGTAATAACTAACCATTTAACAATTCATTTAGGGAAGTGTTTTAATTTTACATAATTTTGTGTTTGTATACTTATTCGAATTTAAATATAACGATTCGGTTATTCTTATAATTTGCTGCTCCTCAATTATATCGTAGCTCAGATAAATTATTAATAAGTGTTAAATACTTCAATTATATTCATTAGATTTAATTAAATGATTCTGCTGCACTTTTTTTCGATGTTAACCATTACCAAGAAATTATCCTGTTAATATGCGCGCATTTGATGGAGTGGTTACACCATATCACTTTCTATCGTAAGAAGTCTGCTTCTGATCTAGAGTTAATTAATTTTCACAAAACAATGTAACAGTTGTATTAGCTAATTTTGTATTTGACTCTAGTACTTCATTGTGCTACTCAATGTAAAAGTGAATAGAACTTATAATTCATGCACCAGTGGTCTTGTAATATAATTATATAATTATCGATTTGGAAACGTAATATTTTGTAAGGCCCTTGATTGACGTCTTATAATTCTTTTATTTTCAATTTTTTTCTATTTAGCTACAAAGTGAATCAGCTTATATAGGCAGGAGTCAGGATATTTTGTCTTAACAAGCATCTCTTTATAGCGGTAGTATTGATATTTGTAACATCAGCGTTTTAATGTTTTGGTCGTCTGAACATAATTCGGTACGATATACATGCTTATTTTTCAATCACCAAATATATTTCGACAGCCCGGTGTTTTAACGGCTTTTTTCTTCAGGTGTTATCAAATTCGAGCTATATCCATCTCTTTATCTCTATATATAGTTTAATGATTTTTCATCTATTTACATTTGCTGCAATACAGATTTTTGTTCTTCTCTATTTGTACGTTCATTGAACAAGTTGAACAGATATTGTCCTGCGTCTTTCCATACGATCTCTTTACTTTGCCTTTTTTGTTGCACATCAATGAGAACAAAAAACAAAACAATCAATCAAACAAACAGAACAAAATGGATCATAATGTGTGGCTTTTTTTTTTCTATTTGCCTCTCTCTCTAATTTCTGCTTTAGAGCTTCCAACATTGTTGTCCTCTTATACGCCTTTAATTTTCATTTATTCAGTCTTATGTGTTACGCTTTTTGATCTTGTTTGTTGGTTATTGTTGACTAAGTAAAAAGAGAAAAACGTATGCTTGCTTTGTTTTATTCTCACACTACATACAATCATTCCAGAATTACACTGTTTATTCTGTTTTGCATCTCTCTATTATATATATATATATATATATATATATATATATATATATATATATAATTTGCATGTATAAATAAATACTTGTTCAAAATATCTTGCTTGTTTGTTTTCATTGCTTTATTTTTGTTTTCTTAGTTCAATAGAGCTAATATGCTGTTTTTGTTAAGTATCTATCGAAAGTTAAACAAAAGCCAATCAAATTTCATTGCTTATACTTACGGTCATAATTAGTTCTGTCCTTATATTACTTTATTTTTTTCTTCCTTTGCTCTGTTTTTGGATTCTTCATTTCATACACTCCTTTTGTTATTCGTTTCTGTTGTTACATTTTTCACTATGCATCAACATATTGAGTTTTTTTCTTGACCATAGCTTAATTGACAAACTATTATCCTGTCTTATAGGTGGACCTTTCACAGTTTCTCTTGTTTTCATTTTTTAAATTAAAAGGATTATTGTTGATCAATGAATTGCTTTTGTATTGTTTTCAATGCGTATTGTTGATGAAAACGATGGTAATTTTAACTCATCAAGTTTACGTGGTTTATGCGCTAAGTTATTACTCCTAATCTGTTTGTGAATGTTGTCCAGAATGGAATATTGAAGGGGTGGTTTTGAATGTGGAGCATGTTGGATAAATACCTAATTTACAAACACCCCACTTTCCCATATTTTAAAAACATGGATAGATATGTTACGTTTATAGTATGAGGATACAATTGATTATCCGTTTATTCGTTTTAGTTCTCGATTCATTTAGTTTTTTGTATTTAGAAGAAGAAACAGAAGTTTAATTCGTACATAGTTTATGAGTCAGTGTTGATTGAAATTAGTGTAAGATATTTATTATCAATTACTCATGTTTTTGTTTGTTGTAAAGCATTTGTTAAAAGTGAATAATTTGTATTTTACAGTTATATTAACAAATCTGAATCGAATTTGTACAGTTGTAAATAGAAATATATTTTTTAGTCATGATACAATGACTACGTTCATAGTAATTCCGTTGACTAATAAACACAGCATTACTATTGAAAATGTGAGTCGTTACGTTAAGTGACTATCATTTTAGTGTTGGTGTATTTGTTAGCTCAAATCAATGTTTTTTTCCGTATGTTAATGATAGAACTTGGTTACGATCGTAGTCACCTTAAAATGCACTAGTTATATAGAATGCTTTATTTATTTCAGTTTCTCCAAATAACGTGATTTAGTTAAAAGTAGGTAGTTATATTGCCTACGTAATTATAGAAAATATTTCTGATGATCCTTGTTTCGATTTTGTATTATTTGATCTAACATCTAAATTAATCATTAATACACTCGTAGGTTATACCAACCCACGTGTCAAAGAAGGCCAAATACACAGGTTTTATCGAAAACCAAATAATATTAATTACGGTATTCATAGTTCATCTATATTTCTAGACTACCAGACTAGGATTTTTTTAAATTGAGATCATGAACCGATTGATGTTAGACCACCACAATTGAAAACCTGGAAGCACTGGATGGCCGTTTTGTCCTATTGTGGGACTCCTCAGCAGTGCGCATCCACGATCCCGTTCGCGAGATTTGAACCCAGTGCCTTCGGTCTCGCGCTCGAACGCTTAACCAACTGGACCACTGAGTCGGCATCCAATGGTGATAGTGAAACGGCCGTCCAATGCTTCCAGGTTTTCAATCGTGGTTGTCTAACATCAATCGGTTCATGATCTCAATTAAAAACTTAATAATCTCCACAACCCCTATACTAGTTACCAGACTAGGAGTTATGTTAACTCGAGTAATCTTCGTACTCATTAAAGTCTGCCCACATTTTCATTTCATTTCTTACATGCTCTTGTAAGATTTTATGGTTTCCTCAATATATAAAGCGTATTTCAAAGGTTTCTCTTGGATTGAGTGGAAAAAGGCGTTGAGAATGTTTTAGACGAAGTTTTTTGTCTTCATTTAGTGAAACCAACTGATAAATTCCATGGAATGAAAGTAAGGGACTCGACTATTTATTCTTACTATGGTCTCATCAAGTCTATTCGCTTCTACCTTGAAATATTTTTAGTGGCAGTCTTTTTAACTCACCCAAACAATCATAGATCAATCCTTTTAGTGATTATTTTTGATTATAAAAGACTACTTAGCGATATTGTCGTCAATATATTCCAATTGTACTTATAATTGAGAAAATATACTTTCTATCATAAATTATTCTCAAGGTATATACAGGGAAAATACTACAGCTGTTTCAAAAATCTTTTACTTACTGTTGTCATTTCATGATTTATTTAATACGTTTGTATACTCTGGATGAGTAATATATGTAAGAATAAATAATGATCTTTGTCTGGTAGACTGTGACCTTATTCTATATTTATTTTATGTCCTCTATAAAGTATGACTTAACAGTAGGTTGGTTTCTTTGATCAGTCTTTCTAACTTCCATAAAGTAATGAAAAAAAAAACAACAACTTATAGACGTATTTATTCATATATCAATCTTTGATCAATAAAATGTAGAAGATTGTGTTGTCATTTTGTAGTGACAAGAATTCTATCAATCACATATCTGACATCGAATTGCCAAAAATTAAATATACATTAATAGTAGAATATAATGAGAATGACGAATTTGGAAAATATACCGTGATAAGTTTTTTTTTAATATCCATAGATGATAACTTTTTGTTGTTATTGTTCAATACAAATTAAGTAATTGAATAGCTCATTGTTATTAGGCATTAAAATGTAATTGATCCGATTTTATACTTAATTATGTCATATGAATAATTTAATTAGAGTGCACATTATTAACATTCTCTTAACAAGTAAGGAAAATATATTTATAAGGAAGTTATTGTTGTTTTGATTTGCTTAATGATTCATTGTATTCACGTTGATGTCATTATATTAAACATGCTAAAATAGAAAGAAATGTTTCTTATCAATGTGAAAGTAAAGTATGGTTGGATTATTTCCAAATTACGAAGTGTTTTGTATTTGAAAACATTTCCTGGCAATGAAAATGTAATATATATATATATATATATATATATATATATATATATATATATATATATATAATTTTTATCTTGAATACTTTTGGTATAACTCAGAAATACTTTTTACTGAAATAACTACTGAAAATCAATAAAGAAGGTCTGTTTCGCCTATCGATGAGACTTCTTAATAATGATTATTTATAACTCAGAACATTCAAGATTCGTAGTGGTCCTTCATTATTATGAGTTAACTGACGTCAATTGGTCCACATCTACAAAATCAGTCGGTTTGAGACACTGCATTGTTGTTCAGTGCTACCAAATCACTCTGCATTTTATCAGCGTCTTCATCAAACAGGATTATATCATCTGCGTATTCTAAGTCAATAAGCGGACCTTTTGGTAGGAGATCGATCCCCAGAAATTTAGTCAACGAGATTTATTTCCAGCAGTAGGTATATGATGAAATTGAACAAAAATGGACAGGAATTTCACAGGTTGAAATCATGAGTCGATTGAAGCTAGACCACCATGGAAAACCTGGAATCACTGGATGGCCGTTTCGTCCTAGTATGGGAATCCTCAGCAGTGCGCATCCACCATCTCGCACCACGCGGGGCTCGAACACAGGACCTACTGGCTTCGCGCGCGAGCACTCAACCGTGCTTCTGTTGCCTGTAGAAAGACTTCTCGACCTTCAGTATGAGGATGATATTGTCTTACTGTACGATGATACTCAAGCCATGCAATCCGCACTCGATCAGTTATCAATAAGTGTCCACAGGTATGGTATGTGCTTTGCACCTTCGAAGTGCAAAGTACTTTTACAAGATTGGCAGGACCCTGATCCTGAACTCACTCTGGGTAGTGAGCATGTAAAAGTAGTCGGGAAGTTCGTGTATCTGGGTAGCTATGTAAATGCTGGTGGCAGCGTGAGAGATGAGATCGATTCATGCGGCTTATGTCAATCTGGGCCATCTTTGGAGTCTTCGTGATGTTAGTCTGGCTGTAAAAGGTCGGATCTACAACACGTCGGTGAGAGCAGTTTTGCTCTATGCTTGTGAAACCTGGCCTCTCCGAGTTGAGGACGTTAGACGACTCTCTGCGTTTGATCGTCGTTATCTCCGAAGGATTGCTGGCATCCAGTGGCAACACCATGTTAGTAATGCAGATGCTCGGCATCGTGAGTTCGAGATCAGAGACAATAATTCAATTGGTAAAACTATCTTGAAACACCGACTCCGGTGGCTCGGACATGTTCTATGAATGTCGTCCCAGAACAGCGGTGAAGTGATCAGTGTGTGTCATGGTATGAAAGAAAGCTGTACAGAATTGGCTTCTGTTGGTCCTTCACGACTTCCTGGTTGGGTCCTAAAGATGGTGAAATACAGTGGCTAGACGTTTAGAATAGAATCTAGTGGTGATCCTGCTGTAACTTTCTTTTATTTTCTCCATAAAATAATAGACGTAACCTCTTTAACTGAAAGAATTTCTGGTTGTACCTTCGATAACTGAACTGCCCCTCCCATTATTACGATTATAATTATTATTACTCACTTTCATGCACCAATTTCTGTTCATTATTGTTGTTCTTTTTCTTATATGCGCTTTATATTCTCTATCTCTTCACATTCTCATTGTTATTGCGTTGCGCATATGTATTTGGTGCCCCTTTGTACCAATCTTTATGTGTTCATATAAATAAACAAATAAGAATTTTGTTTATCAAAAGGAAATTTTGATCAGCTCATTAAATAGCGATTTGGGCGTTAAGTGCGAAAGTTACTGGATACAAGTCTCATTTTGAACATCAAAGAGAGGAATTAAAGGTGTTAAACAAAAAAATCTTCAAGAAGCAATCAAAAACGTCGCATCAATAGGTTTTAAAGTGAATGAATTCACCTTTTTCAAGTAAAGAGGAGTTATATATGTAGTCTTTTTCGAAGATTTCCAATTAAACTCTAACTTTTTGTTTATTTACCTTATCAAAGCGTCGATAAAAAAAGTTCCATTCTTATATTTGAAAAAAAATGACAACCATTTTGTGCAATAATTTTTCGATCAAATGCATGCGTAAACCCAATGGTTATGCCCATTTGTAAATATAACTTTGGTTTCAAAAACCTTTTATGTTTGTGATATATCTCGATTATACTAGTAATTTTATTCGGATATAAAATCCGATTAGAAAAGTTGACATTTCATTAAAAGATAAAATAACATGAATTCAGTGTTAGTATGTGGTGCAAGGAGACTCACGTTCGGTAAACCAATTTATTTCTTTTTCATGACATTGAAGTTGTATGCTATTAAATTAATCTTTTAACGACATTATTTTGGAAAACAGCAAGCCTAATATAACCATCTATTCTTTACAATCAAAGATCTGGCGATGAAAGTCATTCAACCGTTTCAACTTTATCAGTTAATTCAATTTTAGCGTGAATGAAGAGGACTGTTTCCAGATGAATATTACAAATAATGTCAACATCACTTAGAATAATTTTATTTAAAAATCAACATGAGAACATAACATTGTGTTATGCTATAATTAGTTCATCAAAAAAAGGGAAAACATACTATCACTTCTAATTTCCGTAAAGTTTGTTATCAAACTCAAATTACTTATTAACTTTCATTCGACTTACTACTGTTGTACGTTTTTAAATAAGATCTTCACTATTTAAGTAGATATGTTTATATTCATGGAGTAACGTATCAATGTTATTCCATTCGATTAGGTAAGACGAATATGTTTGGACATTGTCTTATACAAAATTTACCAAGCAAACCATGTAGATGAATTTGAAAACTGTGAATGTCTGCGTTAATAATCCTTGAACGATTAGGGAAAAAAAATCCATTCGGGTGTATTATAGACGTTATCTTTAGGACAATTTACGTAATACTTCTATGCTCTATAGTAGTGTATATGTGTTATATGAAAAATTATTAGAACAATCATTACAAATCATCAAGTGATCAGTTTATTTAAAGTCCTGTAGTTTGTGTTTCATAAGGATTAATATCATATTCATAAAACATTGCCTAATCCGAAGCTGTCGGAACAGGGTTCAGTCATTTACAAGGAGAGATTGTAAAAAAACTTAGAAGATATCAATCACTTTAGACTAAATGATGTATTCTTAATTTAATTTGTTATTTACTAATATATTCCTAAGTTCACAATTTACTCACTTTCACTCTTATTTCATTATGACTGAATTTCTGGATTCAGGGCATTCGCTGTACTGGAGAGATTACCGGCATTCAAATTGATAAGGACATTCACTATTTTGGAATGAAATATGGTTGAAAAAAATAATTGGAAGCATGTCATGGTAAATATTTTCCGATTTAGATTGGTTCTTTGGGGAGGGGGCAATTGTGTATAATTTAAAAAGAATTAGAAAAAACTATGAACCTTTGGATTTTAACGCAGTAATTGGATAATATTTTGATTAGTGAAAAACTATAGCTTCTTGAGTTTGATAACATGTTAAATCATTGACATATTATGTCAATACTTTCCATAATTCCCTAAACGTTTCCTGAATATTAAACTACTTGTTAACTAGGAATTCCTTAAGGACTGTTTTTTTTTAATTTTTGATCCTTTAAGATTATAATTATACGTGTCGACAATGGACTATTAATACATTAACATCAATAGTTTAACTAATCAAAGTAAGAAAATATTTTAAAACTTTTAGAAATTCATAACAAAAGAATAATCAATCTAAAATAATAAAAAAGTTTACGTACCGTGTAAAATTGCATTTCTTGTTTGTTTTTAAATGAGAACAAAACAAAGAATACAAATGAGTAAATAAAAGTGTGAATAAATCACAATAACAACAACTAAAAACATAGAAATTTTTAATTTACAAGTATCGATCCATCTAATAGGGTAATCTAAAGTTGTCTTAACAATTTCATGATATATATATATATATATATATATATATATATATATATATATATATATATGCATACTGCATCCAAATAGTTCATATGAATGAATAGATGCTAAAGCATACATATACCAATGTATAAAGTAGTATGGAGACAATTATCCGAGTTAATCTGTATGATCGAGATTGAAACCAATGGACAAGCTAAAATTTTATCATGGGATAATAATAGTAATCATTCAAATCAGTCAGATGAAATACAATTTCGCGTGAAAATCTCTCCTAATGAAGGATTATACGCTCATGCTGAATATGAATTTGAGGTTAGTGATATTAAATGATTTTAAACTGTTAATTTGTAAGATATTGATTCTTTGATAATACTGTGTGTTAAGTTTTTCATAGTCTGTTATCTTTTCACATAATACATCGACCCTTTATTATTTTAATGATTCCAGTGTATAGGATAATCTTAGTATCCATACTAGTATATCATTCATTAATAACTATAATTATTTTATCTATTTATTTCATACTGATCTATAGAATTCAGTGATAATATCCTACAATATGGTACTAGGATAAAATAGTTTGAATATTATCAACTTTATTATGATTACAAATAAGTCTTACTAATGAGTGTAATGTAGAGCAAAAAACTAGATTTATGATTCTTTGTTGATTGTTTCTTTTTAAAAATCTTCGAACACAAGTTAATAACTAGCATAAATGTCTTATTTGGAATACGTCAATCGTGCTAAAAGTTAATAAAACATTGAGTAAATTTATTTGTACAATAGGATTGTGACATGTTTACATATTTATTAGTTGAATTCATAAGTCAAATGAAACTAGTTCACCATGGAAGACCTAGAAGCACTGACGGCCGTTCCGTCCTAGTATGGGAATCCTCAGCAGTGCGCACCGATGATCCCGTCCCGAGAGATTCAACGGTAGACAATGGCTCACTTTCGTGGATTGGTTGGAAATAGGCATTAGCACCATTGGGTGCAGGCTTAATGGTTTAGTGGTTAAGCGCTCGTACTCGAGACTGATAGGTCTTGGGTCCGGTTGCGCATTACTGAGGAGTCCCACAATAGGATGAAACGGCTGTCCAATGCTTCCAGGTTTTCCGTAGGGGTTTAGCTTCAATCGACTAACGAATCCAACTATTAAATTACTATAATATCTAAAAAAATTTCTCTGAATAAAATATACATGTGTGTATCAATGTTCATTATCATTAAGTTTATTAAGTACAAAAATAAGTAATGAGGTGAATTCTTAAACTGTTGAGAATGTATAGAATTTCTATAATGCATAATTTTGTTCACTTTGAATTCATGTAACATTAGTTTTATCTGTAATAATATATATCGGTGTGAGGTTGTGTAGGTTGTTGAGTTTTTTTTAATAAGATCATGAACCGATCAACGTTATAGCATCATTGGAAACCTGAATGCACTGGACGGACTTTTCGTCCTAGTATAAGACACCTCAACAGTGCTCACCCTTATCTCGCACGCGGAACCCAATCAATAATATATTTATCTGTGAAAATTTTATCGAATTGCCTGAAAAAATTGAAAAAAGACATTTTGATATGAAATCTGTTAGGCTTGATTTTTAAGTCTCTATGATTTTGGTTAAGTTCATACACAGTTTTGAGTTACATGAATTGTTAAATTTTTAAAGAGATCAATGTATGACACAAGCTATCCTTTAAAATAGTCTTTGTATTCCTTTCATTATGTATTTATTGCTAATCAAGTGACCTAGTTTGTTGAATAAACATTGATATTCAAATACCAGAGTATTTTGTTCCTTAATCTTAATGTTTCTATTCTTTGACATGAAATTATTTAGTTCCTGTATTATATCATCTTAACTGATTTCTAACTTGATTTGTTTTTTTTTCTGTTTGGCAAAATTCAATTGAGAATATAAGAATAAGCTTAGATTTTAGATTCATTAGAATAACAATATCAAACTATTTATTTAATTTCCTTACCAACAATTAAACTTGATTCGTTCCCTTTACGATTTATCATAAATCCTTTCCCAACAATTTTATATATCCACAAACTATAACCACTTTTAACAGTGTAAATTTATTATTATTATTATTATTCGAGTAGGTAAATTGTTTTAGATAGAAACCAAATTAAATTAATGGTAATTTACAGGATAAAAGAAAGATCATAACAGACAGAATATAATTAGTAAACAATTACATATATTTTAATATTGAAAATGCTAATCATAAACTTAATAAATAGAATGCATTAGATATTCGAATGATACTACTAAAATGTTCTTTACAATAGTTGGTTGTGTATGGTTTATACTTACTTACTTACTTACGCCTTTTACTCCTAATGGGGCATAGGCCGCCGACCAGCATTCTCCAACCCAGTCTGTCCTGAGCCTTCTTTTCTAATTCCATCCAATTCTTGTTCATTCTTCTCATGTCTATCTCCATTTCCTACCGTAATGTGTTCTTTGGTCTTTCTCTTTCCCTTTGGCCTTGAGGATTCCATGTGAGGGCTTATCTTGTGACGCAGTTGGGTGCTTTCCTCAATGTGTGTCGTATCCACTTCCAGCGCTTCTTCCTGATTTCTTCCTCTGCTGTGATCTGGTTTGTTCTTTCCCACAGTTGGTTGTTGCTAATAGTGTCCGGCCAATGGATCCGAAGTATTTTGCGTAGACAACAGTTAATAAACACCTGTATCTTCTGGATGGTGGATTTCGTAGTTCTCCAGGTTTCCGCCCCATACAGTAGAACTTTGTTGACATTCGCATCGTAATTTCTGACCTTGGTGTTGGTTGACAGTTGCTTTGAATTCCAGATGTTCTTCAGTTGTAAATATACTGCTCTTGCTTTACCGATCCGCGATTTCACATCTGCATCAGACCCACCATGTTCATCAGTATAGTTTATAGGATCAATAATTATTCACTCATTCTTTGATACAGATACTATTCATAATAAATAAATTATTTAGGGAAAAAAATAACCAAAGTAACTGATTGTTCTAATGAAAAGAAATTAATAACAATTCAGTAAATAAAATCTATTCCTTTTTGGCGATCCCATTGACTGAAGCTGTACATTTGTATTTATAATGATTTAATGATTAAAATAAAAAAGGGAGTATATAACAAAGTGTTTTAAAATTTAAAGTATCACTAGAGAGTTATGCAACGATTGAGAAATTGTAGGAAAATGTTAAGATGAAAAAATATATGAAAGCTAGTTGTTCACTTGGTGAATATGCGAAAGGAGAAGATTAAACTAAGATCATAAATGAACAAAATAAAAGATGATTAAAAATAAAAGGTAGAAAGAAGTATTTTAAAAGTACTTTATGGAGAAAGGAAAACTAAGACGGCAAAATGACAGCTTGTATATGTATATTTTTTCACACGGAATTGAATTGTAAAACGATGAATCACTGACACTTCTACAGTGCATAAGTTAGTGATTTATGTTTCCTTCGAATACAGTCTTTTGACCACATAGATGACTTTGAAGAATATATCCGATGAATCACTGTAACCAGAATTGTGAGGGTATTTTAACATTGAGGAAGTGATTATTATTGTACATTCTAATTTCGAAAACCATGCACGATAATGCTCAAAGTTGCGTTTAGATAGAACTCTCTTTGTACGGCTAATGTAACCTTCTCCAAGAATAATTATTTTAAAATATATTAATAACAAGTTAATGTCATAGTTGAAAAAGGTTCTGTAAATCAAGTGACCTCAATTGAAAATTAATAATTAACAGCTATAACTTTCAGTGTATAATTAGATCATCTAGTTACTAGCTGAATAAATTTTATCTTACTGTACTAGCTTATTGTCATTTTTGTGACTTTCAATACAATTATTGAATTGTCTCTCATAAGTATCATCCACCACAAATATAAGTCACTTATTATATTTAAGTTCCTTCAACATTTAATAAAAATTCTTTGAGAGTTCCTAACTAAGAATAATACGTTTATTGGAAATATGAAAGATAGAACGATTAACTTCATTTTATATTTGAATATCAATTACAATTACATGTATATACATATAATACTGTATCATTACACGTTTATTCTCTATGCTGATAGCTTGTAATAAGTTTTGAGTTAATAATTTTGAATAATTTGCAAAAAAATTAATGTTAACTAATGAACTTAAGAAACAAGAATACGTTGGTAAATAATTTACCATAACTACATTGTTAATCTGAAAATCACGCGCAAAAACAGTTAATTTCATAAAACGTTTTCAAACCATTATAAAACTAACGTATTAAGTTCCATAACTTCAATACATATAACAACATTTGTTTCATGAATTTGTTGGTATCCCCCAAATGCTCTGATACGGCCGAGGGTAGGGAGAGTCCGCTCTCCCTCTCAAAATGCTCTCACATAGCTACGCGTATATAGCCTCTGCCAGTGAAGTCCTACTCACTGCCTTCTTGTGGCGGCGGTGTTGTTTACGAAACTGAGGTGACGAAATGCGAATATCCGGAGCTTTAACCGGGTTGGTGGTCATGGAGACTCCATCTAGGGGAGTCGGGAAACCCTGATTCCAAATCAATGGTGTACATGGGCTCCAGTACCCGGAGGGAACAGTTGTTGTATGAACCTAATGTTGGTCGCCGGCTACCACGGGACTGCACCTTGTTACGATGCTCCACTGCCTTGTGGATCAAAACTTTAGGTCGAAGGCTCCGTGTTTGGCTCCCTAAGGAAACCACATATTTCGGTTTGAGCACCTGCGCATTATCACAGCCCTCATACATATCAAATGAGATTTGTGTGTCGCATATGTATCTGGTGTTCCTTTGTACCAGTGTTTATGTGTTCAATGAAATAAATTTCATTCATACACACACATATTGGATCATTAAACTTATGTAAACAATAAGCTGAATAGTAAATTATGAATATTTTCGAAAAATTTAATGTATCTTTCACATCATATTAGTTTTGCAACATAATGTACTTTAGATATATAGTCTTTCGTAGTAATTCATGTAATTATTTTATGATATTTCATATTCAAGATGCAAAAATGTCGATCATTAAATAATTATTTTCAAATGTATATTATCAAGAATAATTTGTATTTGAAGTGACTGACTGATTATTCATTGAAGTTGTGAGTTTTGATAAGTTTGACAAAATTTAAGTCTATTGAGTGTTGATAATATCAATCTCGAAAATATTTGCAATAATAGTATTTAAAGCTGAGATATATTTATGTCCAGTATTTTGATCTTTCTACTGATTGTCTGTTTGAGGTAAGTCACTGACATAAATTGTCTTCAAATGAAAAATCTTCACAAACCTCCTTTGCTAATAAAACACGCAATGATTCAAGTGCTGCAAGTACTAAACAAACAATCTTAACCAGTCTTTATTTACACAAATTCAGTTATTTATTTCAACTTTGTATCCGACCTTATATCTTACATTGCCATGATGATGGGGGTTTGATATATCGAGTAAGAATTAAGCTTGATGGTTTACTCTTAATTTCATTGCTGTTTGAATGACTTGTTTGATCCGAATCGTCCAGTTTGTTATGTTTTAGCTGACGATTCAAAATGTTTATTTACTCGTTTAATATTTCGTATATAAGCTTGTCATTCTACTATAAAAATTATCTATTCTCCTGATTGCCGATCTTGTTATTGATTTTGCTCCATTCAACTGTTTGCATCAGTTATTCAGCCTTGTAGGCGGATTTCACTCGAACACAGTGTATCACTGCATTTTATTAATCTATCGACATCTACTTTAATTATTTTAACTGTCGTAAAACACCACATTATTCCTTAAACTTCTAATGTATAGCACTGGGTGCCGAACTAATTTATATTGGTTCCTAACGATCATATAATTATATTGCATCATTCGATCACGATTTTGCTTATTTATTAGACAATCTCTAATGTCCTTCCTTAATGGAATTATGACCCACAACAGAATGGTAAATAAAGTGAATCTGTACATTTTGTAAAATTCCACGAAAAACTGTTCAAGGTAACTAGTCAAAAGAACATCACAAATGATCGAAATAGTAATTGCATTTCATATATCTTAGTTGCGATCCTTCAAATGATATCAATCCACTAACTTACGAGCAGAAACTTATTTAGTAATTTTCATCACAGATTGACATAAATTAAAGAACTATTAAAAAACTAAGATAATTCTAATAGCTGATTCTTTCCAGTTTAAGAGATACAAAGAATATATAATAAATTATCCTCATACAATTGTGATAATTAGTTATAACCATGAGTTTATTTGTAACTTCCTGAAATAATATTAGAATATTGACATGCGGAATTAACATTGATGAAAATACAACAGAAAATCTTGTAATTTCAGTGGTTAAGATCATGAGTCAGTTGAAGCTAGACCACCATGGAAAACCTGGAAGTAGTGACCAGTGGAGTTCAACCAGGTCTGTTGTGAGATGTATCGCTGAAGTTCGTGGATTATTTGAAGTTAGACATTTACACCGTTGGATGTCAGCTCCGTGATCTAGTGATTAAGTGCTCGCTCACGAAACCAGTAGGTCCTGGGTTGGAATCTCGCAGGGGGCGAGGTCGTGGATGCGCACTGCTGAGGAGTCCCACAGTAGGACGAAACGGCCGTCCAGTGCTTCCAGGTTTTCCATGGTGTTCTAGTTTCAACTGACTCATGATCTCAGCCACTGAAATTACTACAATCTCCACAAAACCCATCTGAGAAAATCTTGTGTTTGAATTAAATGAGAATTTCGATATAGGATAATTCGACTGAAATCGAAAATAAGAATCATAAAATTCTAAACTAATTATCTTACGAGATGGTTTATACTGTAAGATCAGATTCTGTTCCACCTTGTCTCTTGTAATATTCACAAAAAGTATTCTCAACGAGTTTCAAATTATAATAAAGTGAGTTCAGTTAATCTTAGCATTAAATGATTCTACAACTACTATCCACATATAAAAATTACATTCAGATAGTATGATATTTGCATTCAATCAACCTATTAAATCATAAATTGTCGTTACAGTTTGAAGAATCATAAACAAATGACATTTGTTTTCTTTTTAATTTGCAGACTTGTTACTAATGAGAAGAATAATTTTTAACAAATCGATAGTTATTTAAATAATACATCAATCTTCAGATAGATGTATTATGATATAATGAATAATTTTGTTAGTGTCTGAAGTTCTACTATCCTTGTTTTAATAAATATATAATTGATATTCAAATGAATTTTAAATATACTACTTTAAACCTTAATTAAACATGTGATACAGTAGAATTGACATAAAGTACATCTTTCTCCAAGATGTGAATGTCATTTAACTAGTTCAAATAACGTAATACTTTTCAGTTAAGAAATGCCAAATAATTTGATTGATTGAATCCTATTCCTGAAGTATACTGTACACAAATTTTCAAATGCATTATTCTCACAGATTATTTAATGGGAATTACATTGTGGAAGTGACAGATTAGACTCAAACGAAATTCGAATTTTATTTGCTAGGAAATTTATTGCTTAGCATTATAATAAAACTGACATAGTTTTTTTTCTATGTTTAACTAATGAGTCAGTTCAGTGTAACCGCTTCTCATTATCAATCTATTTATATGCTTAGTTTAACAAATCATATTTTTAGTTTCGTAAGCTTTTAAAAGATCACTGGTAAAATCCACGTAACGCTTGAAGGTATCCGTTTATTTTTTTAGGATTCATATCTGATTACTAGACATGTTGGAATCAGGAAATTAGAATGTTAAGTTTTTACTTAATGATTGTATGTCAGAACCTGGACTTATTAGAAGGAAATTAATCAGTTAAGATCAAGGTAAAATATTAATTATCTAGCGTTTAGTTTCAAAAACGTACTGATATATTTACCTTGTAACGAACATTCAGTAAAAACAATGTTGACACTGGTAAAAAGCAATGCATTAAAACGATTTTAATCAATAGATTAAAAGCTCATATTAGATTCCATTTTTTTCAGAATGATTTACGAACTGGGGTCTAGTTCTGCTACAGAGACACATTTAGAGATTGACAACTCCGTTAGACAAGGTAAAATTTAGCTTCCGTAGGAAATCATACTACCAGATGAGCGTAAAACTCATGTAAATTTAAAAGTTAATAAATGGAATTTGACATGAATCTGTAAGTTGTAACCTTAGGATATATGAATGATTCACTTTCTCACTATAGATAAGCTAAGCCTAAATCCGATTTGCCATGCCACTTTGCGACATCATATGTCATCTATTCGCTCCATATATCAGCGTAATTTATAAGTGAAATGTTTGACAAACTTAAGTAATACGTTTGTTTCAAAATAATAACTTGGATTTTCTAATGGTTTCTGTTTCCGTGTACTTTAATTATTTATTTTTTTGAAAGATCATAATTCGTTTGGAACATTATGGAGAAACTCCAGTTGTTCGTTGTATGAGTCATATATATCATCCAAATATTGAAGATTATGATATTGGTGGAGCTGTTTGCCTTAATTTACTTCAAAATTGGAATATGTAAGTTTCGAATACTAACTACTACAGTTGTTCTAAACAGATTTGTTTGTACACAGATTAACTACTAGGTGTTGGTAAACACATGTTTGTATTTATATAAACGATTTTGTGGCGCAACTTCATAATTATGGGGCCATATTTTAAATATTATGGAACAATCCTTTCCAGAATTATTTTATTCGTGTAGTTTCATTGGATGAAAATTAATATCTTATAATTGAATGTTCCAAAAAAGTCCAATGAATGAATTTCCCTCACTTTGGGCACATTTTCATACAGATTGAACCAACTCTTCTGTCAATTTTCGTCTGTGACACAGGTTTTTGGAAAAAACACTACTGTCGTTTTATTCTCGTCGAATCATTTTCACTCAAATGGGTTTCAACCTGTTTTTGATGCAAAAATTTTTTCCTTCCAATGTCATGGTGTGACTGGCTTCAACTGCTTAACGTCAAATAAATTTCACTTCGACTTTGAACCCCTCAAACGTATGACAATAGTGTACTGACATTAATAGAGTCTTATCAGGACTAAGGAATAAATAAAATAGCACTAATTACTGTATCGACACTAAGTACCTAAACATTTTATTTCTATAATAGGACAGTTGTAGCCAGGTTAACGTGAAAACTATGTTTCAGGCTATGACATTAACTAACAATGGCTGAACGTCAAGGATAATATGAATGCAGATATACCATTTTGGCTGATGCAAACATGCGTAGAAACTCAACTAAAAATTACCTATCAATCAATTTAGTTTGAGTATTTTTTGTATTATCCCAGCCTTTCCGCATATGTAAACATGTAAATCACTTACAATATAGAATAATACATGAAAAAAACAGCAATATTTTGAACAAAAAGCGAAAAATCTTTGTTTTACATTTCAAGTTAATAGTACTGGTATCATTAGTAATTATGAATGATATAAAACTTTTATTATGATTCTTTTGTTTTCTATTGTATCTTTCTTTTCACGGTTAAATCAGTGGAATGGGCCTTAAAGCTATCATTAATGGTTTACTGTTTCTATTCTATGAACCTAATGAACAAGATCCAATTAATGAGCACTTTATTATTCCATCTGGATCTAGTTTTCAACAAGCAGTTATCGAATCTTTACAAGGAGGCAGTTATTCACATTATTCAGGACTACCAAATAAAGCTTGGTGTATTTGGTATAATAAAAATAAGACAATGGAACAAAAGGATTCAAATGAAATTATTGAGAAAAATAATAAACCAGAAAAACATTTAAAATATAACTATAGTAAATATCTTGGATGTAATGTAAATGATGAAGTTATTGATCAGCATCTACATGAAGAAACTGATGAACAATATGACTGTGAATATCCCAGTGATCAAAATAATAGTCCATCGATCTCATCAGAGAAACAAGTATAAATCACTGTTAATTTCATTCTGTTTTCAATGTCAATAGTCAATTAAATTCTATTCAATTTAGGCTTTTATAGAACTGGGAAGCCATACAAGAATTAATAATCAACCAATGCTTATTTTTACTATATTTAGACGAAGCAAATCAAATAAATAAGAGAGGAACTATAAAGCCAGTGGTCAATTTCAATAAAATAAATATACTTTTTGTGATAGTCTAATTAGTAGAAAATTGTATATCTGACATTTTGTGACTTAATCTAAGCCACTTCTTCAAAGTAAACAAATAACCGATATTAATTATCACAAGTTTAAATAACACAAAGGAAACAATGCAAAATATTTTGGTACAATCAAAACCAGAATAGGTCTAAATATTTCAATGTCAAGTTATTTTTGGTCAAGATAAATTTGTATGATATGTCATTGTATTAATTTTTGCGTCGAAGATGGGTATGAAAAATGTATACATTTGTAATATGAAGTAGTGGGATAGAAATTGCTTTGCATATTTGTTATTTTCAGAAGCGGTTTTGTGGAGATTTCAGTAATTTCAGTACTTGAAATCATGAGTCAATTGAAGCTAGACCACCATGGAAAACCTGGAAGCACTAGAAGGCCGTTTCGTCCTGGTATGGGACTCCTCAGCAGTGCGCATCCACGATCCCGCCCCCCACGGGATTTAATTGTTATTAACAATCTACCCAGTACTCCATTTATTTCAAACTATGAAGTTCAACCTTATCAATGACACCTATAATGATCAGTTTTATATAAATCAATGATGTTTTATTTGTTGTTCATCTCAATTAATCTGTTTCATGCTTATGTGTGCTTCTATTTTGCAATCAACTAGAATAATTCATAGTTGATTGTGCTTTTCTTGATTATCGCTATTATGAGTTAATGGTGTAATCGATTATTCATTAAACATCCAATGATCTAGAATAAAATCGTTTCACTCTTTCTGTCTCTTATGACAGCATGCTTCAACGTTATGATCCAGTTGTTGTGTAATATTGAAAACATTAGACTAAATGGTACTACTCTTAATATTGCTTAGTTATTTAAAGTGAAATAAATATAATAAATGTTAATATGCAAACTTAAGTTAATATTTTCTGGAAAATGATAAGTAAATTTCGTTGGTATTTCTATGGAAAGTATGGAGTTTTTATGCAAACAACAATTAATTTTTATCTAATCACATACATGAACATACTCGTTGTTTGAATGTTAAATAGTAATTTAAAGTGTTAGTTAATCTTTAGTTAATTTTAAAATATCTAGGTCTTACCAATGAATACAAATAACTTGTATTTACTTTCATTTAAGAATTTTTCAAGTTGCATAAATTAATTACCATAATAACATAACAAAGACAGATAGTGGATGCGCACTGCTGAAGAGTCCCATACTAGGACTAAATGGCCGTTCAATGCTTCCAGGTTTTCCCTAGTGGTTTAGCTTCAATTGACTCATGAATTCAACTATTAAATTACCATAATCTCCACAAAACCTTATTCTGATAAAATGTTAAATATTAATATTTTTTTGAAAATTTAAAAGTATTTATGTGACCTACTTTCATTGTACTCAATTTTGTATGACTTTTGATATTTATGTAGAGATAAATAACAAATCATGTACAGTTGTGTCCGACTAAATGATCCTCACGTCACATACTTTACAAATAAAATATAAATATCATTATTACTGACTTCAAAAGATAATAAACCATTCTAATAGAACCTACTTGTGAACCATTGAAACATTATTCAGTCATATAAAGTTAATCGTTTAGTTACCAATGGAAATCGAGATACACCAGTTCAAAATTATTCTAACACTTAAATCATTTTCTTCTGTTTTAGGCTTTACTTATTTCCACTTATTTTGTTCAAGCACTTGTACATTTTTCAATGGATTGAAAATGTCATTTTTTTGGCACAGTACTTCACATTTCAAATATATTCAAGCACCACAAAAATAATTATCGTTAATTTGCTTCATATTGTGTTTATATATATATATATATATATATATATATATATATATATATATATATATATATATATATATATATATATATATATATATATATATATATATATATATATATAGTTGAAAAAATCTGGTAGTCATGTCGCTTTTAATAAGTTTATCCCAACATTTTCGGTCTTTTTACTATTTTTGTTCATGGATCTATGTGTTACTGTATTTAGTGTCGACAAACAGTACTGTCGATTATTGCTTGTAAAGAGATTATTCTCAATGTTAAGCAATGTGTTGAATGGTTTATATGAATATATACCAAAGTGATTTCATTGTATATTTAAAGATAAAAACTGAAATTTGCTAGATTCTTTTCCAAATACATATATTGAGTATAACTGTAATAGCATACACAAAAATTCCGATATTGTTTGTATTACAGTATTTATTAATTACATATGATGCCCAGACCAAAGTAGGTGGTTTTTTTAGGGTGCCACACCCGTACCCTTGGATCTAAAGGTCTGATCCAAAAGGCAGTGGAGCATCGTAAGGAGATGCAGTTCCATGATAGTCGGTAACTAACAATTGGTTTATACGCCACTTTGTCCCTTGGGACACTGGAGTTCATGTGCACCATTGATTTGGAATCAGGGTTTTCCAACACTCCTAAGGGGATGCACTATATCCACCGACCCGACTAAAGCTACGGACATTCGCTTTTCGTCCTCTCAATTTCGTAAAAAACACCACCGCCAAGAGAAAGCAGTGTGTAAGACTGCCCTGGCTGAGGCTATATACGCGTAGCTATGTGAGAGCATTTCGAGAGGGAGAGTGGACTCTCCCCACCCTCAGCCGTATCAGGGCATTTGGGAACAATTTGTCTACAACGTCTGTTCGTCTATTTAAATTGACCAATTCTTACTCCGTAGATATAAGAAAACGTTCAACTAGTTCAAATATGTTCACTGAATCCTAAAAAGAACTGAAATGATTATATGTGAGTACTAATTTTAGCTGGGTATTATGGAAACTTGTATCATAGTCAACATAAAATTACAATATATCATTAGCTAAGATTTAAAGTGTATATTACTCTAATCTAAAGCTTTAAAAGTCAATTTTTTCATAGCTGTATTCTCTGGGGATTAGAATTTAATACATATTATTGACAAATTTTTAAAACGAATAAAAAAAGTTATTCAATTTACATAACTTTCAGTTATAAACTCTGGGACTTGTATTTTCCCATTGTACATAATCATGTTTGTATTTGATCAATCTCTGCAAGTGTATAACTTCCTTCTACTGATGTATTGGAATTCTCACAAATTACAAGTTGATTATAATTTACATAGTTGATGTTAGTGAAATTTAGAGTGAGCAATCCATCTTAGGCAGTAATCATCGACCGGATATTGTTGTGCATCAGTGTCGATGTCCAAATTGGGTCACAAACTTTAACCGTCATTTTAATCCTTAAATTGAAATCTATTAAATGATGGTAATCTATTATCTTTATGTATAATATTTCGAGAATTAAGATGATGATTTCTGTAGTCAAGCCTCAGTAAAAAATCTCAACAATTATGTTCAACAATTCAATTATAAAATCTTTCTATATTTTAAGAGGTTAATTTAAATGTAGCATTTAATGGATTTTCTTGTTTATAAAAGTATTTTCTTGATTCATTAACACTCCCTATTTACTTTTATGTTACATTTAAATAACATGAAAAATCTACCTTAAATTCTTATTGAATAGTAAGATCTAATTATTATTTAGTTCAATAATAAAATCTGTGATAAGTAATTCATTTCTATTTGAATACTATAACAATGAAAAATAACCATTTTTGATTGTTCCTGACAACAACAACAAACAAACATTTGATAACAGACCACAAAACATGATTTTGAAAATTCTATTTTTAATCTAAAAAAAAGGGAATAATTTCATTTCATTTCAACAGTTGAAATCATGAGTCAATTGAAACTAGACCACCATGAAAAACCTAGAAGCATTGGACGACTGTTTCGTCCTATTACAGGACTCCTTAAAGAATAATACTTTTAGCCTAATAAAGAAATTATTCTATACTTTTATTAATTATTTATTTCTTTAGAAAGTAATTAATTCTGAAGGGTAGTAAGTTGTTATGATAATCTAAATTACATCTTTTTTGGTTTGTAAAGTTTCTTACATTGATTCTTTGGTAGATGCAAAAAAGTTTAACTTCAATTTCATAGAGATTTTAATAAATAGACTTATCTTTCTTTTTGTATAGCTTAAGATTGAGCAATCTTCAGAAAGAGTGTAGATTAAAATAGTTTTATACTGATAACTTAAAATTGAAAGTTAGTGATTGTAATCTAAAAGAAATCATGTAATGGTAGTGTTTTGAAAGAACAGATATATGACTGATTTCCTGAACTTAGAATAGATAAATATTTGTGAATTACTTCAAAAGGTTTCTAGATGTTAAATTATAATAATGTTATGACAGTCTAATTGATCAGTAAATAAATAAAATGATTAGGATAATTGAAGTAACAAATTACTGACAGAACTCGTCTTCGAATCTCATCTAAACATTTCAAAGGATAGAACAAATGATCAAGTGAATAAATGTATTAAGATGTTAAATGTAACATTTTTGTTAGGTGAGTTATTTAAAAGACGGTAAATTACTATTGCTGGATAAAAATTAAGATCGTCAAACAGCTAAAGATTGCTATTTTTCATTTCATGATGTTTTTGTCTGCTATATAAAAGCATATATTCGCTGAATATAAGAATCTTAAACAGGGGCGACGGTGTAAATTCTTGCATTAGTTTAATTAGCAGTTTTTATTTTGAAATTTCGGTTTTATCCATCTGACTCATGAACTTGTATGAGAAATATTCCTAATGGTTTATGTTTCCCCACATTAATGTTCAGGATAGAATTATGATCGATCTTGAATCCCACAATTTGCTTATATTTCATGAGTGCACACTGGTCAATAATGCCAGATTAAAACGAAATAACTGTTCAATACTATAAGTTTTAATGGTTCTCCAGTCGACAGTTTACGGAGAAAACAGTTTTCAGTGTACCTTAATACTCTAATCATTTAAGTAATCACAAAATATTAACTGACATTAAGTGGTTGGATGTTGTCTTAGGAAATCCTAGATCTAGGTTTCGTGCGAGTTGGCACTTTTCAGAGAAACACACCGGTAGTATTGAAGGGAGTGTTGTTTTCTATAATATTCGAATATGCATCACTCAGTTATGTAGTCTGACACATTACCACTGATCTATCGGACATTAACTGACCACTTGTAAGACTGGAATATTTGTTCATATTACAGTTTGATTGGTAGAATCCGAAAACCAAGGACTAGACAAACACGGTATTTGTCACTAATCAGAAGTGTGTTAGTTATTAAATGGTGATAGGATAGGTAACCTCTTATAATGGATTCACTAATAGCCTATGAATTATTATAGATCATAGTGACTTTACAAACTAGACTATTACCAAATCAGTTACCACCACAAAAATATGTAGGTGAATACCTGAAAAAAAGCATCATACTAGAATGAAACAATTGTCCATTGTTACTTATTTTTCAAAAGTTGCTCAGTTAAAACCAATCCATAATGTAAATTTTCTTCAAAACAATCAATATTTATAAAGTTTTTGTACAAAAACTAGTTTCTCTTTTACGTTTACAGAAGACTAACTTAAACAATGGTTTTATATTTATCAAATTGATCAAAGTGCTTCGAGAATATTGTTGACCATGACAGATTTGTAAATTCGCTTTATCTATAAAACATTAACCTTAATAAAAAAGGTTTTATAGTTAAGTTAATTTTGATAAACACCATAATGTCATTTGTCATGTGACTGTGTTGATTTCCTTGATTTTAAACTGATCACATAGAGTATATATTTATATCCTGCAAGAAATCGTCGCATTCAGTACAAATGTCATTACGCGTAACAGTAGTGTCGAATGAGATCCTGGAAGTTTTCAACAATCGTGTGTGACTAAACTACTCATTTTTTCAGGGACTATGGATTTTCCTGTGTCAGTCAAGAGTTATTAACAGCTATCAAGAACTATTTAACCATAAGTACGAAATATCCTAATGATCAAAATTTTAGTTTAAGCTCCGTCTCTAAAAATCAATAATTTAATATCTATAGATGATATGACTTGATATTAATAATACTGCTGATACAGATGTATTCATTTCTTATATTGGCTTACAATCTGAATACATTACCATTTTTAACTTTCTTCTTTTGAAAAACAAGACAACATATCGTTTTCACGAAAATTAATATAAAGCTAGACAAATCATAACGAAACAGAATCTGGAATGTAAAAGCAAACATGCATCATAAATGAGCGAATTCAGTGTTTTATTTTATGACTTGAGTGATTTCAATATTAAAGCTTTCATCACTCTCGATCATAACCCACTTTGAATAAAAATGAAATAATTCTTAGTGATGTCACATACATTTAAGAGAAGTGTTGACAACTTTGTTCAGAGCAGCAATGAAAGTTTAAAAATTAAATCGTTAAGCTTAGAAAGAAAGTGGTTTTTTCTAAATAAAGAGCAATAAGTGTATCAGAATCCGGTGAATTCATTTATTTCATAGATTCTCATCAGCTCCTTGTAACCTATAAACAATAGTGTTTGGGAGATTTAGAAAATTCCCCGAAGAAGGCCAAGAGGGGCTCTGAAAACGCCAATTTGGTGATCAAATATATTGCAACCATCTTTAAAAGGGTTCCAGAACTTCCCTGAAACATAAGGCCGTCTGGAATGTTAAAAATACCCTAGATTTTCTGTACATAAACGAGTCTTGGAATAAGATCTTTTTTCCATATATCGCGCCTTTTCGTATTTAGTTGCCGTGTTGATTTAGCCTGGGGATTACTGGAAGAATTTAGGAAACCGAATCTAGCGTTCAATTAGAAGATTTATCAAATAGTAATAATTATTTAGAATCAATGTACAAACTTCATGTCACTATTAGTGAGGATTATTAGGATATTGACAACGGTTATGGAAGAATTATAAAGTGGTAAATTTGATTTTAAATAATATTTTAGGCTGACTTCGAACAAATCTTAATCTTTCCTGAAAAAGTTAGAAATTAAAGTCAAAAATTTCATAGGTCGAAACTATATTATCTTTTTCACTAGTGGCTTCTTTAATTTTATACTTATTCTAGTTAGCTACATGCTTCAGTCAAGTTTGTATTTTAACATACTGAACTCCGGCTACATTCTATTACAGACAGTATTGGTTTACAAATTATAAATTACTATATAGTCGTCTTAATGTAATTTATTGAGATTATTTCAACAATGGATAGAATTTCTATTTTTTCAAAAGGATATGTGTTTGGTGTTTTTTAAAATCTACATATACACTTATTCACTGAAACATCACGTCATGTTTAAACAGTATCAGTTTCCTTGTAGGTTACTATTGTTGTTAATGATAACCACCATAATACCAAGAGATCCTGCTTTCAAGATTTAGTTTGAAGTTAACAGTCAAAATATGTTAAAATATTCATATGATGAGTTAAATGTACAAGCAATTATTGATGTCAGTGTACTTAGGTTACCCTACCAGAGTTTTAATGTCTAGCTGAGGAAAAATAATTAATTGTGTCTTGGCCAACTCTGCCTGATCTGCTAAATCTATCATTATTACAAGACACAAATAGACACTGAATAAGTACCATTTTAGACAAAATATTCCAATCATTCTTGTCAAGGATATATGTCTGGAAGTAGACTAACGCGATCTGCTTACGTAACAAGTAGCCCACTATTCTCTCGGTACCTATGAAAACCCCAGTAATACTGTACACTGAGAGAATTTATCTTTTATCATCATCCAAGTATAGTTCATATGACGTTGTTACAAATGTTTACTGATGTTCTTAATTAGAAAAAATTCAGAGTAAATTCTACACATTATTTATCCCACAGAATTCATTGATTAAAATGATCGGCAGTAAAAGAGATAATTTCACATCACTTGTTCATATAAAAAGAAAAGTAGAAACATATAAAACAATAGTTTATTCTTTCATTATCTTTATCGATCAAAATTTTATGGGCTTTACCAGTAAACTAGCTGAGGATTAGTAACTATATAATTCCGAAGTATAATTTAATCACAGTATAATCGTGTTTGATTGTGATTAGCTATTTATTCTCATTAAATTATCATTTCAAATTTTAATATAAAGATAATTTAAATGAATAAAGTTGACCTATAAATTCATTTAATTATTATGTAGAACAAACAGTTGAAAGGACAGAAATTCTAAATAATTGTATCATTTTATTTTCTCAGTTCACACCAATATCCCTTAAGGGATAAATCAATTAGAAAAAAAACAAACCTTTTTATGGAAGACTAACAGTGAATACTTTAGTCTTGAAGTAATTTGAAATTGGTTATAATGATGGACATTTTCAATGAAATTGTGATATATACATCGATTTCTTCCTCACGTCTAACTCAGTACCACTGTTACATTCATTTATTTGTTATTATAGGGTATTCATTCAGCCGTGATGTATAACCGAAGTTATAAATTATTAAATTTTTAATATCAAACGGGATTTGTGGATATTATAGTAATTTCAATAGTTGAAACCATGAGTCAGTTGAAGCTAGAACACCATGGAAAACCTGGAAGCACTGGACGGCTGTTTTGTCCTACTGTGGGACTCCTCAGCAGTGCTCATCCACGACCTCGCCCCCTGCGAGATCCCAACCTAGGACCTACTGGTTTCATGCGCGAGCACTTAACCATTAAATCATTGAGCCGGCATCCAACGGTGTTAATGTCTAACTTCAACTAATCCACGAAATTCAGCGATACATCCACCATTGTCTTCAGTGAGTTACTATCTCACAACAGACCTGGTTGAACTCCACGAGTCACTACTTCTCACTAGAACTTCAGGATATACCTCTTGAAGCCAGTCCCACAACTATTGAAATTACTAAAATCTTTCTTTCTGTTTTTCGTAAATTCACTTAAAACTTTTATGATCTTTATACTTAAAGCTAATTTATCACAATTCAATCAAAAAATTACATTATTTACCATATGCTTGAAATGTTTTTTATTATCAGTAACCACTTCAGAAATCTGCTTAATTAAAAAACATTGTTTCATTTTACATTTGTACAGAATATAGAACTAAACGGTCACTACAATGAAATAGACCCAGTCATGTCATCTCCATTTATCTTTTCCAATTTATCATCAGTATCGACATTACAGGAAGAAAGTCAAACAGTACAATCATACTTAAATACAAACGAAGAGTTAAGGACAATGAAAAAGATCGAAAACAACAATTTAAATGTTCTTAACTACGTTCATCATTCGTCTACAATAAATTTGAAAGAAATTACAATCATATGGACAAATATAAATAAACCAATGAACGTAACTTATTATTTTATGGAAACATGTAATTATGCATGGAATAGTCACTGTGAACAGAAATACTATGGTCATTTAAATATTGGATTACCTGACATTTTTATTACACATTTAAACCAAAAATCTATTTCACAACAAGTCAGTTTTATGAATAAATATTCGATAAAAACACAAAATAACTTCAACGAAGAATTTGGACATTTCAATAACTGTAATGATCAACTATTTCACTAATGGATCAAAGAATGACGAATGTGCAGACAATGTATTTACATGATTGTAATCCAATGAAATGGATGTTTTATACAACAAGATGGCCTTCTTTTCTTGTTCCAGGTAGAATGTTAACTGAAAATTTCTTAAAACCTAATTGGGCATTACCATTTCGTCGTGCTTCAACTAAACAACTGTTTGACGATATAAATCGTTATATACTGAGTGTTAAATGGGCTCATTCAAGTCAAATATTTATCATTGACCCCTTGGTATGTTATAATAGGTTCTCCTTTCATTATAGTAACAAAATATCACTAATAAAATTATTTACATTCATAAAAATTAGATTTGGCTTAGATTGACAAAAATGTTTTGTGTGTTACAGAGAATGTAGGGTATCACGAATGAAATGAATGAAAAACGAAGCTTAAACCAACTAAAATACAGTAAAGCGATACGTCTACCCTGTATGGTACATTCTTGATCTCAATAATTATAATCAAATTCAGAGTAATTTTGACTTTTCAACATAAGATCTTGATGATCAGAATAGGGTCACTTGTTTTTGAATGTTTAGAAAACACAATACTGATTACGAAGTAATCCTTAGAGAAATATCTTTTTATTATTTAAAACGTGAAATCTTGGAAAACAGTCAGAATAAGTGAATATAAAGTGTTAATTAAATTATTTGTTGTACTAAGTGAGGATTAAATGAAAATAGCCATTAGAAATGAATATAAAAGTGCATTTGAAAAGATTTTGCTCAGAAATCTGTTAGTTCACAATTAAGATTTAAATGAAACTGAATAAACTAACACTTCTTTCAACAGAAACGATGGAACTTACGAAGATCTAAATTACCGTATTCTGAATTTAGACTGGTTTAATGTAAAATATATCTTCAAAGTCGCTTATATTTTGTGCAACAAAAATTGATTTAACGAATGTCAGCATTTAGAAAACTTAAAACGGTAGTCAGAATGGCAGTCTGCTTATTGGCATGATAATTAGTCTATATTTTTGTCGATGATTGAAAAAAGATACCTAGAGGTATATTTGTACAGGTGAAAACTATCAATGAGTATTTAGTTGCACGACATAATGGTAAATAAGATTCCACTTTTCGAAAACTTAGTTTTGAGGTTTGAATACAGGCTAATTCATGGTAGCACAGATGTTACTTCTGTTCAATATCTATATGCTGAAATGAGTAGAAACAAAAAAATGTTGATTGATTTGTGTTATTTATTCTCATCTATGATCAGTCATTTCTCATCCGATAATTTAATAAGCTATATAATCTCAGTCAAATATTTTGTTTATGATTAACAGCTTTAATTATTTTTATTATATATTCCATCACTTTTCCTAGTAGTTCTGAATTCGAAGAACTGGAATTTCGGAATGGGTTTTGTGAGTAAATTATCAAGTTTGAACTTCAGATTTGGATAGACCAGGGTATTGAAACCAAGAAGATTTACTGTTGAAACACGTTTTAAAATAGATGTACAGATCTGTACATGAGAACAGAATTTAACTAATATTGAACTGTTAATGCTAATCTAAAAAAAATTCATTAAGAATCAAATAACTGAAAAAGTCTGGAAGTTTAAAACGCCTACCATTAGTTCCATATTAGAGCTTCCCAAATATGGCCCAGTTGTTTAATTATATGTACATATTTCAAGATTCTGATCAGTTAAATTCCAAACTACTTCTTGAGCGGCACATACACACTTAACAGAATTCATTTTCAGCTAATAAACAAAACGCAGAGAATTGTTGTCACTTTTCTAGGTAGCCAAACTTATGTTATTTATTAAATAAGCAAGTAATCCGAAGTTAGCATGTTTCAAAATTAGTGGTTTTTAATAAGCAATCTGATGATATGTTGGAAAGAAAGTTATTACTTTAAAATATTCAAACCATTAATTTTCAAAGATCTTAACAGAGTTCTTCATACAAAGTTACGTAGCGCTCGTAATAGTTTGATTCTTCAGATTTTATTCAAAACTAATAGAAATGTGGTCGACTATGTATATTACTAACATTTATTGAACAGCTTGAAAAAATGAATGGTTTATTTTAATAGTAGATGTATACATAAAGACACTATGCTTATGAATAATGCGCCCCACAATTTTAGGAAACTCATCCCGTATGTTCAACAAACGATAGATTTAAGCTATTAACAAAGAATGGTAAGTGATAGCCAACACTACACAATGGACTTATGAGCAAAACTTCAGTGTTTGTAAAAAATGTAGTTAGATTTGTGTACTAATAGAAATACCATTGATAAGATTGATACAGAAATTAGTTGAAGAGTATATCCATTAAAACTTAGATTGTTTATATTAATATTGATAGAGTTTCTTAGGAAAACCATTAAATCGAGATGACACAATTTGTTTTTCGAAAATAATTTATTATCTCCTCCGTTTCAGTAGGCAAAACCTACTATTTAGCTAAAGTTATGTTGTATAAATATTCTCATGCAACATTTTAAGAAAATAAACGATATATGCAATAGTCCATTGATTTGCAAAGTTTTATTATCTTTTAGAAATTGTATAAAAAGCGTCTAATTGAAAGTGTTATACGATTGTTTTTGAGATAAGCGTGTTTATCATGCAAAAAAAGTTTATATTAGATCTCATATACTGATATATGGGTGAAATTCATTATTTAGAGTATATAGGTTGTGATTTGTAACAGACTCGGAATTTTAAAATCACTGTTTCTTTCAAAAATTTCATGTCCGTTCTTGATGAATACCTTCTTTCATTAACAAGGTTTTATGTCCGAGAATAAAAATAAATGGAACCCCGTGTACAGTACAATCAGTCACTTACAACGTAGGACCAGGCACAAATGTGCTTCGATCCAAGTTAACACACCTCATCAGCACAACAAGATCAACATCAAATTCATAGAAGTAGTTAATTCAGTGGTGGTAATATATAAGAGAAATATTGCAGATAAGGACATAGTACAGGAAGAAAGAGTTAGTTCGTGGAAAGAAAAATGGAAGAGATTTTAATCTCTTAGTTTAAGGGAAGACAGAGTGTATACACCGACGCGATTGTGATAGATTCTGAGCCATGTCACCAAGAGTCTCCAACCATTGGTTACGATAGTCACGCGGACCCCAACCAATTAGTCTGCATCTACCAATATGGCTAAGACTAGAAGTTAGTGGCTTCAAGCACGGATGCCACGTTTTGGTTTGGCCGCCCCTAACTTTCTTCCAACCGTCCCCAACACTGGTCAGCATTGCGCGTCGTGGTAATTGGTGTTCAGGTATGCGTAACACGTGATCCAACCATCTTAGTCGATGAATTTTCACAACCTAATCAACTGATTTACAATCATTCTCAAATACTCTTCGTCTAACCTCACTATTACTTACCCGGTGATTCTAGCAGATGCGAGCAATATTTCTAAGACATCTGTGATCAAATACTAGTAGCTTACGAGTATCTTCTACTCTTAATGGACAAGTTTCGCAGCCATGAAGTAGAACAGAACGAACTGCTGCTCAGTATACTCATCCCTTAATTGATTGATAGATACCTCACCTCCTTTGTAGGTGACGTCAGTTGGCAAAAGCTAAACGAGCTTTTCGGATCCGTGCACAGATTTCGTCAGACATCAACCCATCAAGGCTGACTAGACTTCCAAGATAACTGAAGTTGTCGACGCGTTCGACTACTTCACTCCCTATCCTTAGTTCAGGTGTTGACACAGTCCAGTCCTGAAACGAAAATTTGCATTTACATGGGGAGAAACGCATCCTAAACATCCTGGTATTGTTGCTCAGTGCTACCAGAAGACTGCATTTTGTCAGCGTCTTCACCAAACAGGACTATGTCATGTGCGTATTCTAAGTCGATAAGTGTACTTCCTGGAAGGAGATCAATGCCCGAAAATTCAGTTGACGAGAGCGTTATTTCCATCACTATGTCAATGATGAATGGAGATAGTGGACAGCCTTGGTGGACACCACTTGAGGTCGCAAACTCGGATAACAGTTCGCCATAGACTCTGACTTGACTGGTAGAGTTCGAGTAGAGCCCTCACAAGGTTTATGTACTTCTGAGGTACGCTTTCCGATGACAGTCATTGCCACAGAACCTCTTGGTCTACAGGTCAAATGCTTTTAAGTCATGAAAGACCACTATTGTCGGACGCCGACAAGCATGCCTGTGTTCTAGAACCTGACAAATGGTGAATATGTGGTAGATGCAACCACGACCAGTTTTGAAGCCAGCCTGATTTTCTCGTGTTTGCAGTTCACGAGTTTTAGTTAGGCGGCCGATAATTATCGAGGATAGTATTTTAGACGCTATGATAGTCAAACTAACCCCTCTATGGTTAGCACAGGATGATTTTGACCCTTTCTTGTATATTGAGACAGTCATTGATTGTGACTTGTCAGATGGGATTACGTTCAACTCTCAGATTTTAGCTAAACTATTAGCCAACCTAATCGCTAAAATTGGACAGTACAATCATGTTGTTTATTTTATGACCACATTCAAAATTCTCAGCTCCTCATAAAACATAATATAACGTGCCTTCTATTAAAATAAATCGTTCTGTCACTTCTCCCATGCTACTTACACCAATTTATCTACTTCAACAAATTTTGATAAACTAAACTAACTGACAGACCAAGTACAACAACGAACTGGTGATCGTAATCAACTTTTAGTATACCGATTCCTGATTTGTGTCGTTATCAAAAAGGAAAATAACAAAATACAATGAACTATAATTTTTAAATCATAGTAGATACATAAACCTACTGTTGTTTTTAACTGGTAAAAGATATGACAACAGATTGTATGTAAGAAAAGGAGGCTTAAAAATAGAAATAAATAAAAAAGGTTGCATTTGTCTGATCAATCTTGATTACTAATAAACCAAAGAATAAAAGCGTCAGTTTCTTTATTTCAAATCTCTTGCCGATACATCCAAAATTGCAAATGCTTAGCATTTTTCGTTCATAAAGCTTGACAATGAAGATTGTAGAAACATAACCATTCTAATAATCAGGTTTTAAGATTATACCTTGCGCTTAATCTTTTGTTTTGGATTATAAGAAAAGAAATTCTGGTTGAAAATACAAGTTAACATTTACATGTATACACAGAGATATGTAGGTACAAAATCACCTGGATACTTTCACAAGACAAATAAACATATGATTTTCAGAAAATAATTTATCTGATTTTTCATCTGAAGATGAAATTAGTTTTTGTCAGGTCAAAGTACTTAAATCCATGTTTTGTTGTACAAAGAGTTTTTGTTTATCACCCCTTCTTATAAAAGGAGATATGGTCATTTTGCCTACTTTCTTACATACTGTTACACAAGTTGTTTACAGAAATAACCAACTGTATTGATATATAACTGCCAATTGTCATGAAGTTATGATGTTAACTATTTGATAAAAGGAAATACATATATTTTCAACTACTTCATATGATGCTCTTTGAAGGGAACCATTAGCGTACTTACATAAGAAATTTAGTAGCATGCCCAATTGTCGATCACATCTAGATAACTGGAAATTTAAAACCTCAAATTGCATCTGTTTGTGGGAAAGTACTTTTGAAGTTTAATAATCTTGCTTTTATTAAACATTTTTATCGTGTTCTAACATGCTTTTGACCCATCCGTTTATGATTCTCAATGTAAACCGATCACTATAACTCGTAGTTACCAATATTCGAAGTTTCTAGTTGAGGTTTGTTTCCTTACTCACTGGACTAATCTTTTATCGAGAATTTCATTCAAACTATTTATGGGAAGAAAAAAAAATTACCTGATTTATATTTATTTCTTAAATCAACCTACTGTGAACAGGAAGACCTTCACGGCTCATTTCAGATTTTTATTTTGAGAATTGTGTATACTAGGTTGACAGTGATTAACATGAAATTGCTGGTGTAAATTGTAGAACAAATATGGAGTATTTTCATGTTAACGTTTTATGTGAGAATTAAGATTGAAATAATTTAAGAGCATTGTAGGATATTTTTGCATGAATTAATACTTGTGTTGTCTCATAAATAATTAATCTGAAAATAGTTGCAAATATTATCCGTTATTCCCTTCAGGCCTTATCACCATTTTCTCCGATAGCTCTTCGTATTATCTATGATCATAACGAACCTCAAAATGAGAAATGGATATACGTCTCTGAATGGTTATCACCTTGGCATTCAAGTACATTTTTCCAACCGAACAACGAGGCAGATTTCCCGGAATTTCAATCTTCTGTTGGTTAGCTTTTATTTCAAATTGGATTAGTTATTTATCTCGATATGAATTATATCACACCTGTCTTGGTTATTCACGCCCTGAAACAACAATCTTTTCTAAAGCGTGCAGATTAACAGAGCCATTTGGTTCATGTTATACTTTTTCTCATTCTCTAACATGTGGTCAAATAAGTTTATTTGATGGTTGGGTATTATGGTTAAGTAGTTTGATGATGCAGCAAATTACTAAATTCTCAGTAAAATTACTAGATTACATTAACAAGAAATACATTAAAAGTTTACCTGTGTGTCGTTTATCTTCAACTTATAATCCACTTAAAGGCTCGTCTACAGCTATATATGTTTTTACTGATGTTGATGAGATTTAATTTGTAATTGGAATGTTTTAAATTATTTTTTCTTGTTGACTTAAGTCTGATTAAAAAATATTTCATCTTCATATCATGGGACAAACTCAAAACGATTATTAAACCAATAAACCATATCACAGATCCAATACTATTTTGTAGTGCTATTCATACTCATACTTAATTACTTTATGATCTTAAAATGATACGTGAGTTAACGTTCTTTTAAAATTGTGATAAAAATGAACTTTCATCCGAATTAGAATATTTGAATCTATCCCATGTAATGTTAAAATATTATCTGGCATTGAGGGGAACATATGTCTTGAATTTCGTGTAGTTTAATCGTAGTACTTTACAACTTCCGTCTGAATATAAACGGATAGTTTTACAGTACCTGAGTACTCACTTGATGAAAATTGTTTAATCATCACTCCTGATGCTTCTAGGACCAGCAAACCGAACGAAACGTTGTTTTAATCATAATCGACTAAACTTTCACAAATATAATTCTCTCTTTAACGTCTAATCTTATTGTTATTTTGGAAAGTTTCTATCTGTTTAAAGCATCCAGTGAGGAGCTGTGACCAGTGGAGCTAATCTGTGCCGGGTAGAGACAGGTATCTACCTCAGTACAATGGAAGATGGTCGCGCAATTTCGTAGATTGGTTGATGTTAGACACTAACACCATTGGATGCCGGCTCAGTGGTCCAGTAGGTTAGGCGTCCGCGTGCGAGACTGAAGGCTCTGGGTTCGAATCCCGCGAGCGGGATCGTAGATGCGCACTACTGAGGAGTCCAACAATAGGACGAAATGGCCGTCCAGTGCTCCCAGGTTTCCAACGGTGGTCTAGCATCAATCGGTTCATGATCTCAATCATAAAGCATCCACGTTGCACGAAATAAAATTTAATAATAAATTTATACTTTGAACAACTCGTCAGATATAAATACTAGCTAAGTTCATGGAATACCATACTCAGTCGAAAATGAACTTCACATTTTTACAGTAAATGTTTTCCAATTTATTAACAGTTAATATCCTTCAAAATGTATGTATCAAATCACTTAAATAAAGATTGATTCTTACTTATCTACTTCATAAAAATAACTTTTTGCTCTAAAATGAATGCGAAAGGGATTAAAATCGTTGGTGTAACTATGATTTAGTAATCATAGATGGAGTTGACTACCTATGAATGAATTTTGAATATTAGTGCGTGTTCAGTATCATTGTGATCCAGAGATTACTCATACATTCATTCGATTCAGAATTTAAGGGTTGATAAACAGGCATTGATTGAAAGCGAAACAAGTAACGGAATCCAAACGAGTATTATTTCGTTTATATTATGGATCAAGTAAAAGACAAAGTAATTAATACTTATCAATTTCCTTATTTGTAACCCAATTCGACCAACACTTTAGACTATAGAATATTCTGCTTAGGCTTAAATCAACAACCCATTAAGATTTTAATCGATAGTTGGAAAGGATAAAGAGAAAAAATTTGACCTAGGTCTTGTGCTTGTTGATAACCTTTCGACAAGGTGTATCTGCAATCATAAGAATAAAGATGCTACTCGATAAATTAAAGGCATTGCCATTAAGATACTCAAATTGCAATTGACTATCTGTAAGAACTGAACTGATAAGTTCATAAAGAAAAAAGAAGACCGTCCAACACAAACTTTCCACATCGATGTAATTTAAGTTGTACAACAGTATATTTAGTTCTACATATGGTGGTCTAGAATGAAACGGGGAGCATCGTATTACTAAAAAAATTGTCAAATATTATCAACTTTCAAGTACTGATCAAACAGTCACGCGCTGTCACGGAAATCATCATCTAGTAATGTTTGCACATTCAACAGGAAGTTTGGATCAAACATTTGTGCAACAAACCCTCACTTTGTAATGGTCTAATACATGCAGAACTAGCTACATATCACAGCCCAAGTCAAGGATAGTTGCAAATAAAATTTCTTTGCTTAGCTGTTCGCATTTCGTTTGATGGCGTAATGGGTTTCTTTCGTTGCTATAAATTTTGACTTACGTATGTACTGAAGGGTATACAGTCCAGGAAACTAGAAAACGTTAAGAGGATTCTCGTAATCGTAAAACTTCATTTTATCGAGACTGTAAGCTAATGGATATGATATTTCCTGTCAAGTTTCATATTGGTACTGAGTACCTAATTAGATGAGGGCGTATGAGTGACGATGCTAAAACATCATTAGATTTTACCTAAAAACCGATAGTGCAGTTTTATGATCGCTTATGGCAAAAACAAAAATATGCTTGGGACATATTAGTTGCTTTAGACCTGATCTGAATCATAAGAAAAGTTAAGTGCATCGACAACTTCAGCTATTGGTTTGGTCAGGTAAAGTCTGAAAAAATCTCGGTACAAACCTTTATCAACTGAGGCAATAGGGAGCTTACGTATGTCTAGATCGGTGAGGTGTAGTGTAGCTGGAAAAAAGATGGGAGTAGGCTAAACGTAGTATCAGTGCATGTAGTCTCTGAATCATGTTAAATTTAGGCCATGTGGTTCCAGACTGCACGATATTTATAGTCAGCGGAGAGAGACAATAAGTCATGCGTCAGAATAGGCCATACATAGATCCGCACTCGATATCGAATCCCAATTTTCCATCCCACCTTTCTACTCACAGTTTTAGTGCTTCTTTCATTTTACCCTTCTAATGTACTATTTCGACTCCATAACTATTCATCTTTATTATAATAGCGTCATGTGGTAACTTCGGACAACGTACACTTGTAACAGGCACTACCTCCTTTGACTGATAACGACTGACTCGGTAGGGATTTAGTGGCCCGTGGATCTGACTCCATGTGGATCGTACGAATGTTTGTTATCACCTATCTTCGTATACAATCATCGACTTAAATCACGCTAGTCAATAACAGAATTTAGATAAGTCAATTAGCGAGAATGGCCTTTGAATACATATATTTTGTATGTAAAGTGAGTGTAATAGAACAAAGCGAAATGACGCGCAAGGTAGATGGCTGGTAAGCCAACTAATTTTTAGCCAGGCGTTACTCAATATTCATAGGCAGATAAAATAAACTAAAGACATGTGATGAGACATGGGGATATGAAGTGTACATACATATACGCTCATATAAAAACAGTCAAGACTGATAAGCGAATAACTAACAAGGTCAAAATATGACTCAAGTAGAATGAATAGATTGGGCTGTCCGAAAGTTAGAATAAAGTATATGGGCTTAACATAGTGACTGACACTACAGGGAGAATGATTTTCTAAAGCAGTCCAAAACCCAATTAAACCACGATTAATGCAAAACAGAAGGAAACGAGTAGTAAAACTGACAATAAGCAAGAGAGCACATATCAAATATAACTTTCTTATACTATTTAGAATGTGGCATATTTAAGCGGATAAAATTATCTGCATATGTAAATGAAGAAATTTCCTTAACATTTGAATTTACGTACATGGTCGGCCAGTCAGCCCAGCCAAGTCAACCCCAAACTTCCACGCCCATATATAATCTCGAATCAAATGTTCATGCCACCTATACATCAAACTATTTTTTAAACGAAACAGTTTGAGGTCGGAACGGCACACATAAGTGCCTCGGTTCAGGTTATCATGATACAATGAAAATACGTAGATATGCGCAAAGACTAACCACTAAAAGATTAAGAAAAATAACCTATCGATAAAGCAATTCAATAAATAACAGAAACGACTAACAGTTAGACATATTAGAGCCAGAGAACGCCACATTCTTCGGTTTTTACCGGTTAACTTGTTTATTTGCCAGATAAATACAGAACCTCGGAAAGTATTATCGACTCTTACTCCTGAAGTGGATATTTTTGTTTGTATACGATATTTGGGTGAATTCCATAAAACTAGATTACGGCTGAAGGTCGCTAAAGGATGAATTATAGAAGACATGAAGCCGAGTAGAGTTTGTCTTAATCATCAGACATTGCAGTAGCCTAAAACAATCAATCGGAGTCTGAATCAGTACATTTGCGAATTCGTGACTTCAGAGTACTAGCAATTGCAATAACAAAACTGGTTTGGAGATTGAGGTTCACTACGAAACCCCTTCAGACAAAAATATTACGAGGCGAAAAATTTCGGAGACGTTTTATATGTTCATTATCAGAAACATGTACATTAGGCCTCTCGTGTTTGGATAGGTAGTCTGAATTTTTCAACTAAGTACTTCAGCCCATAAGATTCTTCTCCAATATCAGTTACCACAATGCATGAGGCTGACACGACTTTTCTAGCCTTTCCTTCTTTGTCATACTTACACAATCCGGACCACTCGCCAAGCTTTTTATTATCTGGGACCTGCAGCCTTATATTTATATCAAGTTATCATACCTTCACAAGAGGGATGCCATGTTCATGACATAGTGCTTCAATCAGAGTTGTGTAAGCTTTTTCATTGCAATTTTCTGCGAGGAAACAAAGAACAACACCTCGTTGTTCAATCAATTTCGTGCACTCATTTAATCCACGACATATTCCACGGCACTTCGCAGCATTTTTAAGGACTTGCTGCACAGCACTATCCAAATCCATTTCCGTGGCCAACATGTTTCTGCAATAGGAAAAAACCAAGAGAACAATCAAGATT